TAGCAATAGTGGTGGGAATTCCTGTTTGCTTCCGATTTTGTTTTTATTTTTCTTTTTGGACAGGCTCTGCTATTTTGCCTACGCTGGCCTTGAACTCCAGATCCTCCTGCCTCGGCTTCCCACAGGGCTGGGATTACAGGTTTGTGCAAATGTATGTGCAACTGCTTTTCATGAAAAAAAAAATTACTTTTTCTTTATTTTATTTTTTTCTTTTTCCTTTCTTCCCAGTGCTGTGGATGGCATCCAGAGCCTCAGGCCTGTTGGGCAAGGGTTCTGCCCCTGAGCCTCACCCCCGGCCAGATGAGAATTTTCAAGGAGGAAAATCGGCATTTGGTAATGGGTATCCAGGCCAACCCACAGCCCCATCCCACGCCAGGGGTGGCTTACCCATAGGAATGTCCAATGAGCACATTTCGCTTCTTTGCATAGCGCTTGAAGATGGCTCGCATGTCCTCAGCCAGCGCATAGAAGGTGTAGGCTGCAGCTACCTGAGGTGCAGAGCTGGCCCCGTGGCCAGCCAGGTCAGGTGCCACCACCTCATAGCCTAGGCGCACAAAGAAGTCCAGTTGCTCCTTCCAGATGGCCAGGGAGCCACCGACACCATGGATGAAAAACAGTACCACGTCCGCCTGGGCGCCCTTGCAGCTAGTGATGCGCTTCTCACAGTCAATGTGGATGGTCCTCTTCGGGCGTCTGGCTCGCCGCCTCCGCCCGCCGCTGCCACTACCCGCACTGCCCGGGTTCGAGCGGCCATCGCTGCCTGCTGGATCGGCCAGCTCTACCTCCAGGGCGGCCGGTGGCTCCCCAGAGCCATTCTGCCCATGCAGGAGGTCAGCTCTCGGCGCCCGGCCCAGGTTCTCCACCAGCAAGCGCCCGCTGCGGTACACAGTGATCCGGCGCTGGCAGCGGACCAAGCCGGACCTGTCCCCCTGGGCAGCATCCAGAGGCGGCGGTGGAGGTGGAGTGGGAGCAAGGGCGGGTCCAGCGTGCTTCACCCGCAGCACACGGCCAGGCTTGACCTCCACAAAGGTGTAGCCATCGCTGGACTCGACGCTTTCCAGGGGCCCCACAGCGTTAGGGGGCGTGCCCAGGAGGCAGCAGAAGAAACCGTCGGTCACCCCGGTCAGCATGGTGTGTCCTGTGAACGGGAGGCAGATCAGGGGCCATCTAAGGGGGAGCCCTCCTACCCCAGGTAAACCAGACTGGGAGTCCCTTCTAAGGTCCCTTGTGAGGGCAGGGTCACAAGCGGCCTGCGTGGTGGTTGGCTAACTTCCAGGGCCTGGCTAGTGGTTCATCCCTGGGGAGTCCATCGGGAAGGCGAAGAAGTCTGGTGTGGGGACTTCCCAGAGAAGGGGACATTGTGGTAAATGTGGCCCAGCCCTGAGGACACCCCTACCACCACCACCTCCAGTTTATACCAGTGAGGGCCCCTAAAGCCATTCATTCATTTATGCACATGTACTTTATATTAGCTCACATATCCTGAGGGCTCCTGGGATATCTTATTATTATTTTAAATAGATCTATTTAGTTGTTGATGGACCTTTATTTATTGGCTTATTTATATGTGGTGCTGGGAATCAACACAGTGGCTCACAGGTACCAGGCAAGCACTCTACTGCTGAGCTACAATTCCAGCCCCATCCTGGGGTATTTTAAAGGGTGCAAATCCCCAGGGAGGCCACCTCCCGGGTCTCTGGCTCTGAATCCGACCACCAAAAGATGAGGCCCTCAGAAAGGGGACTGTGGACTGAGCCCCAGAAGCCCTTAGCTCTCCCAGACAGGGCTGAGTTGGGCCTGTCTCAAAGAGCAGCAAGCTGAGGGCCATACACACTGGGAGGACACTGCTCTGTACCCCCTGCTTAGTACCCTGGGCTGGGGACTGGAGCATCACACAAGTCCCCAGGGGTGGTGAGGAGGATGGGACCTAGTTGGGGGCCTCCAGGCCTCCATCCAGCTCCCAAGGCCACCTCCCCCCACCCCGTGTCCATAGCAACCACAGGCGGTTACATAACTCAAGGGGATACCCGCGCAGCGCACCCCCATTGTCTAAAGCCTGGAGATGGAACCAGCCCATTCTCTCTCCCCAGCCCGGAGGCCGCCGGGGTAACACACGCTGAAGATGGGCCCGCGGTGGCCCGGGATAACCTGGAAGGGAGGCAGGCAGCGCTCTCGGCCTCGAGGGGGGCCCTGAACCCGATCAAGGAAGGCGGCTCAAATGCGCCGCACCAGCCCCCCTTCCCAGAGCCGGGCCGGTCTCCGGGGTGCCCGTCATCCCTGTGGCGAGGTCGAGGCCCCTGGGGCTCCGTGGCTTCCCAGGAGCCCGAACGCGGGCTTTGTGGACACCCCCTTAGGAAGTGGAGGCCCCCGAAACACCTCGATGACCCCCTCAGGCCTCCGCTCCCAGCTCACCTCATCGAGGGCTCCGGGGCGGGGCGGAGGGGTCCCGGGCAGAGAAGCCAGCGTCCGCCTGCGGGTGTCGTTTACATGGTGGCGCGGGGTCGGCCCGGCGCTTCTACGCCGGCGAGCGCGGGCCCGGGGCGGTCAGCGCAGGGGCATCCCGCGACCGCCCACCAAGCCGGCCATCTAAGCCCCTCCCCCAAGAGGGCGGGGCCTGCCGCAGACGGGCGGGAACTTCGCCCTATCGTAACTGCGAACTGACCTGGCCTAGATAGACGTCCAATCAGAGACTAAAATTCTGAGATGGGGCGGGCTCTGGGTCAACGGCCCCGCCCCTTTTAGGGGCTCTCGGAGGTCGTGCAAGGGATTGGGCCCAACCCCGGGAGGGAGAAGGGGCTGTAGCCTCAAGTCTGCGGGACTCCTGGGACTAGGCAGTCGAAGTCCTTTCTCAGAGAAGGGGTCTCTCCAGCCAGCTCCTGCCTCCGACTTGCCCTGTCCCCTCCAGAAGGAGCTCCCATGTCCCTCTCTGTGTTGACCTTTCTATTCTAGAAACAGAGACTCCCTGTGGGGAAACCAGGCTCACGAAGAACAGGAGGAAAGCCAGGCTGGGATCTGAACCCAAGCCTGTGTGATTCCAAATCCTGGGAACTGTTAAACAGAAAATTTGGAGTCTTGAGTAATTAAGGAATTGGAATTTCACTATCAGCCAATTTAACCAATGACTGCAGATGGAACTGAGAAGGGACTGGTGGCAAGAGATAGACACCCCAGTTCCATGGTCAAGGCTGAGGCAAGATAGTCCACCAGGAGAGCCCGGATTCAGAGAACTCAGGGCTCAGGTTTAGCCTCTGCCCTTTGCTGATGTGTGACCTTGGACAAGTCATTTCCCTGAGCTTTCATTCACCTCTATATGATATTATTCTCATGAGTTTGCTATGCAGGCAAATGATTCATCATGTGTTTTGCATGTGGAGTAAGTGCTCAATAGATTCTTGGCATTATTATTATAGTGGTGGTGATTTGTTAAATGGGCTTCAGAGGACAAGGGGTTAATTGCTTCTTCCTGCTTGCCAGTCCTCATCCCCTGGAATCTGCTGTCAGAGCTGAATTAGATGCAGCCACCCACGCTTGCCCACTCAGGACTCTCCTGGGAGGCTACACAGTTTATTCATTCAGCAAATGGTTCTCATAGTGTGTCATGTCCCACCCACTGTCCCAAGCTGGGAGACTCTGTCTCAGGTCTGCTCAAGCCTGGCTCCTGAGAGGCCCCAGAGCTACGGGAGAGCCCTACTGGATCAGGGTTAGGCCACAGAGAAGGAACAGGGTTAGAAGAATTTTTTTCCAATAAGACATCTATGTTTCATCCCTCCCCCCCATACCAGGGATTGCACTCAGGGCACTTAACCACTGAGCCACACCCCAGCCCTTTTTTGTATTTTAATTAGAGACAGGGTCTCACTGAGTTGCTTAGGGCCTTGCTAAATTGCTGAGGCTGGCTTTGAACTCACAATCCTTCTGCCTCAGCCTCCCCAGCCACTGTGATTATAGGATTACAGCTGTTCACCACTGCACTCGGCCCTTGTGTGTGTGTGTGTGTGTGTGTGTGTGTATACTGGGGATTGAACCAGTATCAAAACTGAGCCACATCCCCAGCCTTTTTATATTTAACTTATATTTTATTTAGAAACAGGGTCTCACTAAGTTGCTGAGACTGGCTTTGAACTTGCAATCCTTCTGACTCAGCTTCCAGAGCCACTGGGATTAGGTCACCAGGCCTGGCCTCCACATTTTTTATTGGTGCATCGTAGTTGTACATAATGATGGAACTTGTTACATATTCCTACATGTACACAATGTAACTATAATTTGACCAATATCACTCCCCAGTGGTTTCCCCCTCCCTTGCTGTCTCTCACCTCTTGGCCCCTTTACTGATCTAGAAGAGGAATTTTAAAGGTTGGACAGGGACCAGGTAGAGAGGAAGGTGTGGCTGCGATTTAGGCTGTGTATGGAGAAGGTTTTGCGTGCTGAAGGGCCCTGATATTTTCCCTGGGACAATGGAGAGCGAAGGAGGGTGTGTGAGCATGTGAAGGATTCAGATGTGGGAAAATTCCTCTAAGGCAAGCCAAGGGCAAGCTTGCAGCCCATGCGTTTTACTGAAAAGCTGAAACCTGGAGAGGAGCAGGGACTACCTCAAGGACACCCAGCCAGCTCGAACTCAGGCTCCTGGGCTCCCTTCCAAGAGGCGGGGACTTGGCTGTGGTCAGAGAAAAGCTGTCAGCCAGCTGTGTGCCATCTGCCTGGCCCTTGCTAGGAATGAAAAGACCAACCAGCAGCTTCTAGCAGCTGCCACCAGCTGCGCCACAGTCACCCTGGGGCACCCTCTGCCGGTAGACAGAGGGAACTACAATTCCCAGCGGTCCTTGGGACATGCCTTGTACGCCCGCGCAGGTTGAGGAGTCGTCATTCTGCCACCTGCTGGTCGATCGGAAGACTAAGCTCCCTGTAGGCACGACTTTGGTGCGCAGGCGTGGAACTGCAGGTCCAGGTGCGGACCGCGGCTGTGCAAAGTTGGGTGTAGGAGAAACTACATTTCCCATAAGTCTCCTTTCCCACCCCTTAGCCGCGTAGTTGTGGGCTCCGGAATCTTTGGCGGCTGGGACATCGTGACCCGAATCTGGACATGGCTTTCTCCGCCGGATCCCTATTGGGCCCCGCTGGCAAGTCGGCGGCGCAGCTAGGTGGCAGGTGAGTCCTCAGGGGACACGTCTTCAAATCTGGGAATAAGGTGGGCCTCCGGGGCTGGCTCCTGAAGTTTATCGTCTCCAAGACTCGACAACGCTTTGCGCACTCAGAATGCGCCTTTTCCAACTAGCGTCTGTCCCCGTACAGATCTGAAAGTCAAGGCTCAGAGAAGTTGTACGGTGCGCTGAGATCACACAGCGCCTCCGCTGATCTTCCTTACTGCTTCTCTTGCCTCTACAGGTTGTTACAGCCCAGGATATGGTTGGGGTTCCCAGACTCCTGGGGCCTCCCTGTCTTGCAGCAGGCCCGTGGCAAGGCGCGCGGAAACGAGTATCAGCCGAGTAACATCAAACGCAAGCACAAGCACGGGTGGATCCGGCGCCTGAGCACGCCGGCCGGCGTTCAGGTCATCCTCCGTCGCATGCTCAAGGGCCGCAAGTCTCTGAGCCACTGAGGATCGTGACGCTGCTGGCAGGACTCCGGTTAAAGCATTTACGTTGCCTAGGACCTCACCTCTCGCCTTTGCGGGGAGCTGGGGAGCAGAGAAGACTTGGGCATAAATGCTCCCCAAATCCTGGGGTTGGCTTAGGGGAAGAAGTTTGGGTAGGACTGAATGTGGGGGAGTGGTAGTCAGCTTGGCCAAGTCTCTTTTTATGCTTTTAAAATACGAAGAATTTCGAACATTGGTACAGTACACAGAACAGTATAAGGAACCGCTGTGTGCCCAGCCATCCACAACCGTCCTGCCCCCTCCTGTGTTACTTTGAAGCAGATCTCAGGCATCAGGTTATTCTGGGGATATTTCAGAATGTATCTCTCCAGGATAAGGGCTCTTTATAATTACAAAACTATAACCCCCCAAATTACCAGTAATTTGTAAATGTCAATAAATGTTAATTCCAAATTCCCTCTTGTTCTACTTGTCATAACTTACAATCTGGGAAGGCTGCTGAGAAGGAGAGGCGTTTCACATCCTCTACCTGCCCCTTGCGGATGGGCTTGAGACCCTGGGTGAGGCTTTAGTCCTCAGGCTACTTTGCTCTGTTGTTGTTGGAATAATAATACTTAATAGCGTCCACGTACAAACTTATTGAGCACTTTATGTACTGGGTGCCCATTCCTTATTCAGTAGGGGCAATCTGTCTCGTGGGGAAAGTGAATTTACACCTAGGCAGGAGGATCAGGGCTGAGAGGGGGATTGTGAAGGCTATAGGAACCCAGAGCGGGCACCTGACTTGACTGACATTGGGAAGAATCAGTCAAGGAAGAACTACCAGGAGGGATTGGGTAGGGGTCACGACACGGGGCAGGTGAGGGAAGCCAGAGGGGCCCAGAATTTGGGACACTAGGGAGCCACATGAGGCTTTAAAGCAAGAAAGTCTAGGTTGTCAATTAAAAAATAATTAAAGCCGCTAATGCGGGAGTCGTCTACCGAAACCCAAGGTTGAAACCACGGGGAGGAGGCTGAGAATGTTTTGGTCCTCACCTTGCTGGACCGTCGTGAGACTTCAAGGGACACTGTATGTAAAAGTGCAATATATAAGACGTGCGAAACAGAGAGTTGTGAACTACAACTCCCAAGAGGCTTAGCGGGTGCGGCATCCGCCTACTTCCGGATCTCATTTTCTACGCTTCCAAGTCCCGGGCGAGGTTTTGCTTCCTCGACCAAACTTGACTATGAAGGGAGGAGGCGTGGCAACCAATGGGCATGTGAGTTAGCCGAATCTGACCAATGGGAGCGCGCGCAAGGGCTATATCTTGGGGGCGGGGCCAGGGGGCCGACCAATGACGGGGCTCAGTGGCGCCATCAGTGTACGCTGTGCCGTGGCTGGAAGTTGCTGTGCGGCGGCTGCTAAGAAGGCGGCTGTGGCGGCGGCGGCGGCGGCGGTGGCGGCGGCGGCGGTGGCGGCTGAGGCGGCTGAGGTGGCGACGGAGGAAACAAGATGGTGAGGACGGCCACCGGGCCCGTACTTCCCTTACCCTCAACAAAATGGTGCCGCGGGACCACCCACTTCTCTATCCCCCTAAGGCCTCTCACCACTCAGCCCGGCCCCCTCAGCCCCGCCCCACTCACCGCGGTGACCTGTGACCTTCGACCCCTCAGGCCCTTCCTTGAGCTTTCTTTTGACACCGCTCCAGCTCCTTCCCCGACCCCTGACCCTGTGTAGGTTTCCAGGCCCTGACAACTCATTCATTTCCGGGTCGCGGCTCCCCCCGGAAATCGCTCGGAATGGGGTGGGGTCTCCTGAGACCCCAGCTCTGGCTTCTTCCTCGGCTCAGCGGGCCTGGGCTTCTCTGATTTAGGAGGGTTTGGAAGGCCGGTCCGGGCGTCGGGGCGGGGGAGGGGGCTTCACGCCGCAGACTTTGCAGGGCTTTGTCGCCAAAGGAAGTGCGACACTCGCCTGGATCCCCCGGGCCCTAACCCCTCCCTCACCATTCTGGGCCTCCTCTTGTCCCCAAGAGAGAGCAATTCCGTCTCTCCCACCCTCCGAGCCTCTGCCTGTTAAATGAGGATGTTGGCAGTCCAGACTTCATAGGATTGTGGTAGTTTAGGGAACTGACGTGGTAAAGTGCTTAGGACAGGGAACATTCAACAGATGAGCTGGGTGACTTGGGGCTGGTGACATCCTCTCCTAACTCTCCTTTCATCTTGAAGTGGGAGTAATCCTAACTGCCTGTTGGGAGGTTAATATTCCCTCTCCCACTTCCACATCCTGGGGTGTGGGGCTGGTGGTTTTTTGGGTTTGATCTGTAAAGTGGGATGGTGACCCCCCACCTCAGAGTTGTTGGACTGAAGTCCCTCCGCTCCCTTGGCATCCTCACAACTGGCAGGGGCAGTGGAAGATCTGATCAAGCTGAGTTAGGGCCCCGTTGCCCCTGAGGGAGAATCCCAGCCCACAGCTTCAGCCTTTGGGAAGCAGTAGAGGAGGGCAGAGGAAGGTAGGGCCCACTGTGTGGGTCCCCAAGTCTGGGTGTTATCATTGATTTCTTACTGCAGTGTGTCCCCAACCTGGTCATAAGAGGATTCTGTTGGCTCTGCGTGCAGAACACAACCTGAATCCATCTGTGGCCTGTCCAGGTACTGCCACCTCTGGCCTGGATGCCTGCCCCAGCCCCCTCCCTAGTCTCTTTGCCTCTCTCCCATCCACTTGGTTGTTTTTAATTCACCAGGACCTTGAAATTTTTAAAGATGTAAGTCAGATTGTATCACTTTCTAAATTATGAAATGCTCCTGTTGTAACCCTGTTGGTTGTGACCCAGCTCCTGCCCTCCACCTTCAAGGTCTCTGCCCACCTCTGTGACCTCATCTCCACCCTCTTCACCCCTTCCCTCTGCCAGCTTCATCCACACAGGCCTTGTTTGCGCTTCCCATGATCTGAGTTCCACACCCCCAGGGCCTTTGCACCTGCTGATTCTGCCTGTAGTACTTTCCTTACTGTGAGCATCTCTTCTTCAGATCCCCTCCTGACATCTGGAGGCACCATCTTTTTGCCTCTTGCTTTGTTGGATCATTAGTGGGCTGTCCACAAGGGGTCAGGACTACAGGTGTTTGGTAAATGTTTGCTGAGGTAATGGGTGGCTTCAGGGCTTCTGGCTGCAGGATGGGCTTCTCCCCTGACTTCAGACCTTGTTTTCCAGCTTAGCTGAAGGAAGTAGGTCCCCTCCCCATCTTCATTCATTTATTCAGCATGAGTGAGCAGGTGTCAGCAGCCGCCTGGAGGGAGCCTGTGCAGAGGCTGCATCAGTGTTGTCTTATTGAGACTCTGAATCAACTTGGGAAGTGGCCCTGTGTGCAGTGCCCCGTTCTGTGGGGGAGGTGTGAAGCTCTGAGGTTGTTTGCCCCAAGTCACACAGCCAAGGAGGTGCTGAGCAGGATTGAGGGGAGGATTTGAGTTCTATGCTTGTCAGCCTTGTCCCCTGTGAGCCCTGCCCGCTGTGACCCCTGCAGGGATCTCAGGTTGAGGTAGCCCTGCCCTGCCCAGTGCCCTCAGCCAGGGAAGTGGATGTGTTGGGTGATCCTACTGGGGTGGAAGCAGGTCTCTGGGAGAGGCTCCCTAGGTGTGGGGACAGCATCAGGGTAGGAGAGGTTAGAGCTGATGGGGGAGGGCAGCAGTGTGGATGGAGAGGCCCTCCTGAGGGGTGGTGGATGGTGCGAGTGGGAAGATAAAGAGGGCCCAGTGGGCCAGGGCTGTGGAGAGTCTCGAGCAGAGCAGGGACAGGGGCCTTTCCTATATCAATACCTCTGTACAGTCCACTCCAGTCCCCCAGATGAACCAAGCCTCTGTCCACCCTCCCCCTTCCTATCTTTGCACATTGCCCTGAAGGCACCCTTACCTCCACTTTCCACTCACTGCGATTTTGTGATCCTTGTGTCCCCTATGCAGTAGGACCTCCCTAAGATAGGAACAGGGCTTCAAGGCTCACCCCAGTGTCTTGGTGCCCCAACTTGGGGCCTGCCATATAGTGAGGGCTAAGAAAACCTTGCTGGCTTGGCGCAGTGGCTTGGGAGGCTGAGGCAGGAGGATTACAAGTTAAAAGCCAGCCTCAGCAATTTAGCAAGATCCTGCTTCCAAATAAAATATAAAAAGGGCCGGGATGTGGCTCAGGGGTACAGTGCCCCTGGGTTCAATCCCTGGTACTAAAAAAGAAAAGGAAACCTTGCCACCTGTATGACTGTGGCTCCTTAGTCTGAGAATAAGCTGGAGCAAGGGGCCGAGGATGGGTCGAGGCAGGTTTGAGGGACTGTGAGTTGTCTCTTTGAGCAGCTGTGAATGCTGTCGTAGGCAGAGGGGGACACCTGATAGCCTCCCGGGTTGGCCCATGCTGCTGATGTCTCACTGGGACCAGCAGAGGAGGGGCTGGCCTGTAGGGAAAGGGACACTAGTCCTCTTGTCTGCTGCAGAGGATGATGCGAAATCACTTAAATGGCTACTTCCTCCAGGGCTACTTCCTCCAGGGCAGCTCTCTGAGGGTACCAGGTCCTGCAGCCCTGGAGTCTGCCGGATCTCAAGCCATTGGGTTATCAGACCTGTCATGTAATGGCAGGGGCATGGCCTGTGAGACTGGGCACACCTAAGACTAGGTGACCTCAGATGAGTCACACCAGTGACCTCCTTACCTCAGTCTCTTGTCTTGAGGATGGGGAGCTGCCACCACCTGCTTGGCTGGGTCACACCTGTGAGTGCTGTTGGGGATATGACATTTGGGAAGACCCTGGCCCAGGGCAGGATGTGTGGGGAACCCACACCAGATATACCCCTTGCCAACTGTTCCACCTCAGGCTTGACCAACAGGGACTTTGGGACAGTGAGTGGATTTAGCCACACAGGCCTACAAACTTGGGTGGCCCAGCCGTATCCCCCAGGCAGCTGTGGGGGGACGTCTGCCCCCTGTGAGGCTGAGGCCCGCCTGGTGAAGGGCTCAGGCTTCTCGTGGGAGAGGCAGGCGTTTCCCCCAGGACTGGCTCTGCAGGCTGATGATCAGCCTCAGGGTGGGGACTCCAGAAGAGTCCCTGAGCTGACCGTCACACACCTACTTAGCTCAGTCCACATGGGGCTTCTTTTTTCCTTTTTCTTTTTTTGTGTGAATGGATTTATTTTTCCTTTTTGTGATATTGTGGATTGAATCCAGGGATGCTTTGTTACTTAGCTACATTCCCAACCTTTTTTATTTTTTATTTTGAGACAGAGTCTTGCTAAGTTGCCCAGGCCAGCCTTGAACTTACACTCCTCCTGCCTCAGCTTCTGAGTCACTGGGATTATAGGCATGTGCCACTATGCCCAGCCCACATGGAACTTTCTAGAAAGTGGAGCCAGCTTTAAAACTTGTAAGGACTGACTGGTGTGTGACTCGGTGGTAGAGCACTTGCTGAGCACACAAGAGGCCCCGGACTCCATCCCCAGCACCACAAAAAAAAAAAAAAAAAAAAAAAAGAAAAGAAAAGAAAAGGAAAAGAAAGGAAGAAAACCAAAATAAAATAAACCTAGATGTTTGGGGCCAGAGTGCAGCTCAGTAGCAGAGTGTTTGTCTTGCATGTGTGAAGCCCTGGGTTTCATCCCCAGCACTGAAGAAGAAGAAGAAAAAAGAGATAACACATATACAAACTTGGATTTTTAGGATGTTGGAAATGTGGCGAGCCCTGGACCCCCATTCCTGAGTAATTGCAGCCCCTTCTCCCAGTCTCTGTTCCCACCCCCATCTGTTGTCACACTGACCCCTGGGGTTTCTTGAGATCATCAGATGTTCCTCTGTCCTCGGTCTCTGCCCAGGTCTCTGCCCAGGGCGGGTCGTGGAAACAGGGCCCGGAGGCTCAGCATCCAGAAGTTTAATACACTGCTAAGCACAGTGCCGCCCAGGCGGGCCACAGCCATTTCCTCGGCGGGGGTGTTTGGGGCCTGGGTTTGACTCCTCTGTTGCTCACACAGTGCGACTTTAAACTTGCGGCCTGTTCTTTCCCAGCCTCAGTCTCCCCACCTTTTGCCTGGGTGTGGGGCTGTTGTGAGGGCCTCCCAGGAAAGCACACACTGACCTTTGGTAGGTAGCTTGGGGTGCACTCTGCAAACCCTGAGAAGCAAAGAAAAGTAGAAAGAAAAGACCAGAAGTCACCAGAAGCCCCTCTCAGACGCATAGTAAGGGACCTTGCAGACTTCTGCACTGTTACTGATTCTCACTCTCTATCTTCTGTCTGTTTTCTAGGCAGATTTTTTGAAAGGATTACCTGTCTACAACAAAAGCAATTTTAGTCGATTTCATGCCGACTCCGTGTGCAAAGCTTCGGTGAGTGTGTGTTCTGGGGGCTGGAGTCCTTAGGGACTGGGGGTAGCATGTGTCCCCAGTAGTGGTCTTGGTGGGGACAGGCTGATCTTTAAGGCCAGTTCCACCCCATATTCTTTATTTTTCTTTAAATATTTTTTTAGATGTTGAAGGACCTTTATTTTATTCATTTCACTTATATGCAGGGCTGAGCATCGAACCCAGTGCCTCTCATGTGCTAGGCAAGCACTCTACCTCTGAGCCTCAGCCCCAGTCCTCCACCCCATATTCTTTTTTTATTGAATCTTTATTTTATTTACTTACTTTTATGTGGTGCTGAGGATTGAACCCAGGGCCTCACACATGCGAGGCAGGCGATCTACCACTGAGCCATAACCCCAGCACAACACCCCATATTCTTGAGTGTCTTTCCCTGTTTATTCAAGGGTAGGTGCTGAGTTGGGGCTGGGGAGGGAGCAGGGACCCTAGGCCCATGTGCTCCTAACCTACCTTTTCCTAACCATCCTGCAGAATCGACGTCCCTCCGTCTACCTGCCTACTCGGGAGTACCCATCAGAACAGAGTAAGTAGCATCTGCTGGTGTGTCCTGTCCTGGCTCCTGGGGGTAGTTCAGAGGCCCAGCCAGACCAGAGAGCAGAGCAGGGGGCAGGGAGCAAAGACTAGGGAGCAGGGGGTAGAAACCGGGAGCAGGGGCAGGCGGCAGGGCACAGAGGTGGCTTGCAGTCCAGTTCCCAGTCAGGGTCATGTGGGGAAGGGCCCTAAACAAAGACCAGGAGGCGGTCTGGGGACTCTGGGCTGGAGGTGTGCACGTGGCTGTCTGCTCACTCCTGATCTCGGAAGCTGCGGGAGACCTGCTTTTTCTGGGTGCCTCCTGATCTCCACACACTGGTGTCCAGGGCTCCTGAGGCTCTGAGCTGACCCCCTCTTCCTGGCGTGGCCCTTCCCCTTGGGTCAGGCCTGGTGTCCCCTTCTGCCTCCACCTCAGGGACTTGGTGAACATGCAGACTCCAAGACAAGTACTGTGAGACGGGGGATAGCAAGAGCGCTTGGGGCTGGGGAGGGGACTGGCAGATGGCTCTGCAGAGTGGGAGGATGTGGTGGTGCTGTTGTATCTTTATTTTAACTGTTAAAAAGGCACCCATCTACCGGGACCCTGCAGGGTACAAGTGACTTGTGGTCACCAGATACAACTGTGTAGGTTTGTGCTTCTGGTCCACCTGGGAGGAAGCAGGGATGCGAGCCTGCCCCCACCCCAGGACGGAACCCTGCATAAGGCAGCAGGGACCCTGAGGGAGCAGTCGGCTCAGGCCCCTGGTGGTGGCTGTGTGCCTAGAAGTGAAACCACTGGGATTTCTGAGGTCACCTCCTAAATTGTGGGTGCCGACTTTGAGCCCCAGAAAGACCACCGAGGGCCGAATAGGCCAGGAGGTCAGGGAGGGGTGAAGAGCACCCATCTAAGGTCAGGGTGCCTCTGCATCTTCTGCCACCATTTCTGTCTTTCTTTTCAGTCATTGTGACAGAAAAGACAAACATCCTTCTGCGCTACCTACATCAGCAATGGGACAAAAAGGTAAAGGATGTGGGGTTCAGGTGCTGGGAGTGGGGTGGGGCAGACATGCTCCTAGCAGGGCCTCTTGAGTGAGGGAGTGAGTGGGCGTTTGGGGCCTTGAGGGTCCAGTAGGAGTTTTCCGGGTGATGGAGGAGAGGGGGAGCCGGTCAGTGGCGGGAACAGCTGTGCAGTGGCCCAGGTTCTGGTGTTGGAAGGCGGGCCGCCGAGGCCCGGCTTCCCAGGCCCCCGTTAGTTAGACTTTCCAGGTGGGCCCTAGAATGTTTTGTTTGTTCCCACACATGCCTGGCAAGTGCTCTACCACTGAGCCACACCCCCTTGGCCATCTGTCGCTGAGCTACAGCCCTAGTTTGTCGCCCCCCCATTACTCTTACTGAGAAAGAGTCTCACCTGGTTGCCCTGGCTGGCTCTGAACTTGCCATCCTCTTCCATTGCTGGGATTACAGGCATGTGCCACCATACCTTAGAATTTTTTTTTTTTTTTTTTGCACTGGGGATTGAATTTGGGGTACTTAACCACTAACTAAGCCACATCCTCGGCCTTTTTATATATTGAGACAGAGCCTTGCCAAGTTGCCGAGGCTGGCTCTGAAGAGGCTAGTGATCCTCCTGCCTCAGCCTCCCGAGTTGCTGGAATTATAGGCATAAGCCACCACATCTGGCTGTAGAATCTTTTTTTTTTAAATGGTGAAATTTACACAAGATTAAAACTCCAGGCAACGCAAGAGGGGATAAATGTGGAAAGATTGTCTCCCAGCTGGGACAGTGATGTGCACTTGTGAATAAAAGTCACTTCCCTCAACTTCTGGCATCCTAACCTCTTCCCAGAAGCCACTTTTTGTACATTTGGGACTCTCTTTCTTTGATAGAAATTTCCAAAACATGTTATTCGGTAATATGGTTTTCACTTAATATTGAATATCGACTGAGGTTGGACGGGACTCCAAGTGAGCCCTCTGAAAATCCAGGGTGCCCGACCCACTGCTTCCATCCCCCTCCCCAGCTGCACAGGCTTTGAGTGCCACCAGCCAGGAAGGACACGACCTAACCATCTGCTGTCCTCTTTTCTGGGGATGCAGGGCCCCCCTGTGGCTCCCAGGAGCCCTTTTGCCCTTGGCTCCATGGGTGCTCCTCTGAGTGTTTGAGAAACGGGATGTGGGGGGTCATGGGAAAGGTCATGGTGGCTCTCCCCACGAGGTACCCAGGAAACCCCTGCCTGTCACCTGCCATGGGTCCCAGAGGACACTCAGGACAGGACTTGGTGGGGCAGGTCCCAGTGGCAGGAAGCGCTGCCCAGCCAGGGGCCCCAAGTCACATTTCCCTGCTCCAGGGCTGGCTTCTGACACCACTGAAGGGCCAGGGCTGGCACTGGGATGCCAGGAGCTCACAGCCTGTCCTTCCCTTGCCCCCAGAATGCCGCCAAGAAGAGAGAGCAGGAGCAGGTGGAGCTGGAGGGCGAGAGCTCGGCACCGCCCCGCAAGGTGGCCCGGACCGACAGCCCCGACATGCACGAGGACACTTAAGACTCGCGATCCCCCACAGGCGCCTCCTGTTGTGTCTGCTCCTTGGTCGCCCGCCCACCGTGTGTAAGCGCCCTGCCCGCCCGCCTTCCCCGCCGGCCACCCACACCCCGCCGTCCACACCACTTCCAACCTCATAGGAGCCGATGTATTTATTTTCCTTGAGTTTTTATTTATGCTGTAACATGTATCAAGCGTTGGTTAAAGGGGACGTCAGACTCAGTAGTGTGATGTCGATAGATGCTTTTTAAAAAACATTGTTTTTCACCCTTCCCCTGTCCAGGTCCCCTGTCCTGAGAAACTATGTCTCTAGGGTGTAGAGCCAGGGGGTTCTGTGGCCGGGTGGCAGGGATGGGGGCCAGGCCCTAGGCCTGGCTCTCCCGGACAGCTGAGCAGCCTTCTCCCTCCCTGCTGACCAGTCCAGGCCTCTGAGACTCACCTGGTCTCCACTGCCACGGGAGGTAGCCATGCCCAGTCCTCCCTGTGAGCAGGCGGGCAGGGGAGAAGTCGCCCTACTGGATCTTCCTCTTAAGTCATTTTATCATGGACTAGAGTGCTCCGTGTCCTCCCCAATAAAAGGATCTTTCCTACTCGACCTCGAGTCTTTGCTCCACACTCCTCGCCCCTGGAGGACGGAGCCCCTGAGAGTCATCCTGTCATCACCAAGAGAAGAGGGGCCCCTTGTGTTGGGGCCCCAGGGACCAGCCACATCCTCTCGTGAGCCTGCTGCAGCCGCCATGCTCAAGGCCAAGACCCACTCGGACCAACCCCTCTGCCTACCTGTCAAGGTGTCCTCGAGGACCAGGCCATCTCTGAGAGACAGTCTATGGTGCCAAAAGTGGAGCTGGGGTCAGCTCACATCCAGGACACTACCATGCAGGGCCCCATGCCCACCATCCACTGTGGAGATGGCCCAGTCTTGCTTGGGGGCCTGGGCTCTGAGGGCCTCTGGTGACATCAGAATGACATTTAGCAGGTGTTGCCAACCCAGGTAGCCTGGCCTCATGGGACCCCAAGTCAGATAGGAGTTCTAGTCAGTATGCTTCCTGGCCTCTCCAGGGGTCCCTTCACTAGCTGGGCTGGGATTGGGACTGAGCTTGGACACGTAGAGGGTGGTTTGGCTCTGGGTAGAAGGTTCGCCTCCCTGAGCACTTGGCCTGGGCGTCTGCTCCTTCTACCCCTGCTGCCCTGTAACCGGGGGTGTGACTCAGTGCTGAGTTTTCGGGGAGTTGGGGGTGGGGTAGGCCCTGGATCTGAGGGGGTGGTTGGGGAAGGTGTGCCTGCCCCCAGCAGTTACCCTGGGGCCTTGCTCAACTCTCTTGGGGCAGATGGTGCTGGGTTGGCACCAATGACTGAACCAGGCCAGCACAGCAACCCAGTTGTGCTTCGATGCCCAGATGCCTTGACCCCAGCTCTCAGCTTGGTGTCTGTACCAAGGCAGGTGCATTCTGTAAGGTCCCTGCAAGCCCTGGGCAGCCAGTCAGGAACAGAAGCTTGACCTTGGCCTTGCGGATCAAGGCAAGGGGAGTGGCAAGTCCCCCTTCCCCCGACTTCCAGACCAGTTGGGAATCCCCAGTCCCAGGGGTGGTTCTGACCCGGCAGATTTATGGTGTCACTTGGTCAGTGGTTAAAATGGCAGGACTTCAAAGACCAGGAGACAGCATGGCACTAGGCAGCACACCCCTCCCAAGGCCTCTGAGTCCCCTTTTGAGCTGGGCCTGTCTCCTGCACCGACTGATTCCTGGGGCGCTTCCTCCCAGTGCCCTGCCCACCTGTGGCCTCCCTAGGTACACGGCCCCCCACAGCTCCTGCTGCCCTCAGGAGGAGCCCAGGCCTGAGCCAGCCACTGCTCCCCACCCCTGCCTTTGGGACTCTCCTTGCCCTGATGTCCCCAAGTCCAGACTGCCTTCCTGTGCCTCTCCCTCAGCTACAGGCTGCCATCCTGGCTCCAGTGAGCCATGCCTTCAGGTTTCCCTGAAGGGCCGCTTTGTCAACTGGCTCCCCTGGGGTGTGGCCACGTGAGGGTCTAATCCTTTAGCTTTGGTAGGGGGATGTACTTGTCATTTTCCCAGATGAATGTGAGGGTCTGGCAGGCAGTGTTCCTGTCCCTAAGTCACATGTCCACAAATCCTAGTGATCCCTGTCTGGAATTCGTCCCTTCATGGGACATCCTGGCTGTTCCTTGATGCCAATCTGTGTCTGTTCTGGGCACCCCCAAGTGCACCATCCTCTCAATACCATGACTCTGGGACTGCAGGGCTGGGGTGCCAGGTGCCTTCCGATTGATTTCTATGTCCCATGTTCTTCCCACTGTCCCTGGTTTCCCAGGAGGCAGTTGTGCCAGAAAATGCACCTCTTACACACACACACACGCACGCAGCTGAGAGGACCGTGTCACCCCTCTGTCCCTGTTTGAGGCTGAGAACTATGGCTGAATCCTTTCAGCATCTTGAGCTGGCCTCCTGTCGGGTGGCCCGAACCTGACCTGAGCGAGGCCCCGCAGCCCCGCCCCAGGGCTCCCGGGCCCAAGTCAGCCCCCAGATCTGGGCCGACACAGGCGGCACAGCCTGGAGTTTTCCATCCGTGGCCTCGAGACCCAGTTCTTGGGAGGAGGCCCCTGGGCGTCAAGTCAGCCTGTGGCAGGTCCTAGTCCCCAGGGCTCCCAAGCCCCCTTCCACTTGCTCTGACCTCTGGCACTGTTGAAATATACTTTTTATTGCATTTCTGCCGTTTTACAAAAATATGACAAAATAAATTAAAAACAAATAAATAATCGCCTATTCTGTGTGTGTTCTCTATTGGTTTTGGGGTTTCCTTTCGCTTCCCCCATCCTGGTCGAAAGGAAAACGGCAGATAGGGGAACCCGCCCTGATGGGGCGGCCAATACTGGTGGCTGTGGCTGGGGACGGAGGGCAGGGCAAAGCGCGTTGCCGCCCCGATAATGACTGATATTGCAAACGAGAAGAGGAAGGCAGGGCGCGGGGCTAGTGCCAGCCGCTGGGCCAGCACACGGCCTGGGGGCTGGGGCTGGGGCTGGGCGAGGGCGCCCCCGGGGGTTCGGAGGTGAGTGGCAACGGCGGGGGCGGGAGGCTGTAGAAGCTGGCGTCCCCGGGCAGCGGCTGCAGGGCTGGAGGGGGGCCCGGGAGGGCACAGGGGGGGCACTCAGCGGCGGGCGGGGCCTGGCGGGGGGCGGCGCCCTCGCCCCCGCAGCCCCAAGGCCCGTCCCATTGCCAGCAGCCGGCGGGTGGCGTCGGGGGCCGGGACAGCGGTATTGGCGGCGGCGGCGCGGGGCTCCGGCTGCGGCGGGTGCGGAGGGCAGGGGCGCCCGCGAGGGCCAGCGCTGTCCCTGCGGAGGCGAGAGGGGCCGTTCCGGGGGCATGCCGCCCCCGCCAGACCCCACGAGGTGGGCGACCCTGCCCGCGCTCCCTCCCGGCTTCCAGGCACGTGAAAGGCCTTATTGCTTCAGATCAGAGACGGGGTGGGTAACTCCCCTGGGCGACTTTGCATCCCTGGCCTCTCCCAGGCACAGGGAGGGGAGTCTGAGGAAGTCCCTCTGACTTCTGACCTATGCCCTTGTACTGCAGCTGCCACCTCTCAGGAGACCTGGGGATCAGGCTACTGGACCCCCCAGACTAGGGTTGGGGCAGGCAAAGTGGTAGGGGTCCTGGGATGGGGCCCGTGCCAAGGCTCTGCACTAAACTGGGTGCAGCCTGTAACCCAGTGCCCTGGGTGGGCAGCCCCAGCCTCCACCTCCAAAGAAGTCCTTCCTGAACCCCTGGGCTGCAGGCTGGGGATTTGCATAGAGGTCTGGGGGGGGTCCAGTCCCCCAGAGTGAGCCGCGCATGGGAGCAGGAGAGGGTGGGCCAGGAGGTAAAGGGCCTCCCTCACCTCTCTTGGCACCAGAGCATGGTGGGGGTGCCTTGGGAGGGGTACTAGACAGGGGGCTTTGGCGTCCCTCCCTGGGGTGTGAGGAGGGTCAGGCACAGGGCTCCGGGCTCTCCAGGGTCCCAGAGACTGAGCAGGCTTGACTTAGAGGCTCCATGTCCCACTGACCCAGGTCCCCTACCAGTACCAAAGACGGGGCCTCCTCTGTCCCCTTCAGCCCTTCTCCCTAGGCCTGGCCACCCCACCCCTACCCCCAAAGCCGGGCCCAGCGTCCCCACCCCCGAGTTAAAGCTTGTGACCTGAGCCTTCCTCTTCGGGCCGGGGGGCTTCCAGCTCCTCAGCTGAGGCCTCGTCCGCTGGCCCACTCCTCTGGGCCCGGCCGCTGCCACCGCTGGGGGTCCCGTCCTGTCGGGCCTGCCCGCCCGCCCCGTTGGACCCGGTCTCAGCCCGGGTCCCGCCAAAAGGGAAGAGCTTGCCGGCGTGGAAGGCCTTGGGTGGCGAGTGGCTGCGCTCCGGATCCCTTCGGGTCTCGGGCGACTTGAGGAACTTGAAGCTGAGGAAGGCCGGTAGGCGGGTGTCACTGCCGGTGGGTGACTGGGCAGAGGGCTGCCGAGTGGCAGGGCCAGTCCCTGTGCCGGCCAGCGAGGACGTGGCCCCTGATGACAGGAACTTGCCCTGTAGCGGGATGATCTGCTTCAGCTTCATGACATTGTTGGGTGCCAGCAGGGACCCCGGGCGCTTGGGCCGCTCAGGCCCATGGCTGCCCGCTCCGCCACCCTTGGCTTTGGCAGAGGTCTTCTCGGAGGTGGCCGGGTCCAGCCCAGTGCCCTCAGCCCTGGCCTCCTCCCGGCCACTGGTATCGCGCTCCCTGCGGGCATGATGCTCCGCGTGGCGCTGGCGCTCCTCCTCCTCCCGCCGCCGCCGCTGCTGCTGCTGATAGCGGTGCTGGGCCTGGCGCTCGTGTCTCTGTGGGCAGAAGCACACAGCTAAGGGCCAGGAAGGCAGGGATGGCCAGGCCACGCGGACTCTGCAGAAACAGCCAGCTGAATCCCTCCATGGAGGCTGGGGCTCCCCACTAGAGAGAGATCCAGACGCTTATTGGGCACCAGCAGGATGCCTGGACCCAAGCTGGGGCTCTCTGGGGAAGCGGGAAGGGATCCAAATGTTTATTGGGCACCAACTGCATCCCTGGACCCAAGCCGTTGCTTTCTGAGAATTGAGAAGAAAACAAATGTTCACTGGCCACCAACTCTGTCCCTGGCCACAAGCCAGACAGTGTCTTAGGAACTGGAAGAATGTAAAAAAATACTGGGACTGGGCCCTGCTTTCTGGAGAACCAGCAGGACAAGAGAGCCTGGACTGGAGCAGTGTGACTTTAAATTAATTACAATTCGTCAAGGGGTGGGGGAGCGGCTCAGTGGCAGTGCGCTTGCCCAGTATGTGTAAGGACCTGGGTTCCATCCCAGCACTGCACGAAAAGAAAAAAATATGTTTTGATTTTTTTTTTTAATATAAAATCAAATGAGTTCCTCATTCCCCCCCCCGCCCGGCCCCATTTCAAAGTGCTCTTTAGCCACCTGTTGCTTGGGGCTACTTGGACAGCGCAGATTTGGGACATTCCCGCCTTCCAGGAGAGGTCTGCATCGAAGATGCCACGGAGCTCCTCGGCCCCTCTGTAGCTTTTGGAGGAATATGGAAGAGGCTGGACCTCTCCTAGGAAGCATCCACCATGCCCCTGGCCCCAGACAGGAAGCTCTCAGGGGGCTGGTGGGTTTGGATGCCATGGAGATACCGAAAGGGACCCAGGCCTAGTGACAGTCATCCTTCAGTATCTGCAGGGCACTGGCTCCAGGACCCCCGCTGATGCCAAATCTGTGGACAGGCAAGTCCTTAATGAAGAATGGCACAGTGTTTGCACAGAACCAACGGACAACCCCTGTCCACTTTAAATCGTCTCTAGGTGACTTAGAAAAGCAATCCCGTGTAGACGCACTGTCCACCGTTGTATTCTGCATTGCTTGGGGAATCACGACAGTCTCAGCTGGGCACAGTGGTGGGTGCCTGGAGTCCCAGTTACTTGGGAAGCTGAGGCGGGAGAACCGCTGGAGCCCAGGAGTTTGAGACCCCATCTCAAAACAACCAAGCAAGGAAGGAGGTGGGTGGGAGTCTGTGTGGTCAGCCCAGATGTGAGGGATGTTTTAGGACGCTGGGGGTCCGCACTGGTGGCGTCCTTGGGTGCGGAACCCAGGGGAACTGAGAGCCGACTATCGTTCCAGGCTTTGTACCTCTCTGCACGTTTCCCCTCTTCCTAGGGACTTGGCCGCAGAGAGCCATTGCCAGGGACGCCCGCCCAGCAGACAGGTCCTAGGAAGCAGCTCCTCCCAGCCTACCTACCTTGAAGGCCTCTCGTCGCTGATACTCGAGCTTGGCCATCTCCTCGGCCACCCAGCCTGGGATGTCGGGGATGGCCACATGGATGAGGTACTTGAGGAGCAGAGCGAAGTGCTGTGGGGATCCGAAGAGGAGGCTACAGGCTCCGGGGACGCCCTCCTGCCTGCCGCCCGGCTCCCCCACCAGGTCGCCAGCCCCCACCTCGAGCACCACCACGGACACAATGGCTGCTTCCGGGCTCAGCCAAGGGAAGAGGCGCTGCAGCTGCCCGCACTGGCCGATGAGGTAGCAGTTCACCACGATCGCCAGCACGCCCATGGCCTCCATGACCTTCTGCAGGGGGGCGGGGATCTCAGAGGAGGTCCAGCGGCCTCTCCAAACCCCCGCTCCTCCCGGCTGGACCCAAGTTTCCCCTGGACCTTCAGCTAGGAGCCCTTGGCCTGCCCCTGCCCCACCTGCCACTGGCCGATGCTCTCGACGCGCTGGCCGAAGGGCCGCTGCAGGCCCGTGCACAGTTTAAAGGCGTCACTGCGGATCTCGATGAGGTTGTTGACCAGGGCGCAGAGCGCGGCCAGCGGGAAGGCGGACGAGAAGAGCACGACGTAGCCGAACTGCACGAACATCTCCTGGTAGTCCTGGAAGGTGTCCTGCGGGGCGGGGGCGGGCGCTCTCAGGCCACCTTCCTCCGCCAGCCCCCTCCCTCGGATCCCCCCTCGTGGACCAGGGTCTCTCTCCATCTTTGGCCTCAGACTGGGCGAGAGGCCTTGCCCACCCAGCTGGACATTCGTCCTGGGCTCCCGTTCTGCAGCTCCCAGCCATCAAGGGCCCCACTGCCCGATGGCCTTCAGCCCTGCCCGATGGCCTCCAGCCCTGCCGCTGCCTACCTCGTACTTCCTCATGCAGCTCTCCAGCTCTGCCTGGGTCAACTGGGCCGAGGGCTCCTCCTCAGGCGGGTCTATCCAAGATGACCGGTTCTGCCTCTTCTGCCTCCCGGCAGAGTCCCCAGAGCCAGGCTCTGGGTCTGGGCCTCCATCAGGCCCTTGGTCTCGGCCCTCGCCCCCGGCCCGACGGAGCAGGATGGTTGGGGGCTCTCGCTCAGGGCTGCCAGGAGGACCCTCAGGCTCGTCGTCTTCCTCGGCCAGTGTGAACACGCCCGGCTCCAGCCCCTTCTCCACCATGGTGGGGCTGCCCTCCTCCAGGAGGGCCTCTGGGTTCGGGCCCGGCCGGCGCCGCCCCGCCCCGCGCTCAGCAAAGCTGACCTTCTTCAGGCGGAGCCCACAGTCCAGAAGGCCACCTTCCTCGCCCTCGTCCTCGTCCTCCTCCTCTTCTTCCTCCTCTTCCTCCTCCTCTTCTGCCTCCTCCTTGCCCCCCCGGGGCCCGTCCCTGACCTCCCCACCTTCTCCGGCTGGTCTCCGCTCCACTGTGGCCTCTTCCTCCTCCTCAGGTGCCCCGCAGCCCCCACTGAGACACCTGCGGCCCCCCCCACTGCCGCCGCCACTGCCCTCGTCGGCCTGGGCTTCAAGGCGGCGAGGCACAGGGCGCCGGAGGCTCAACAGGCCGAGCAGGGCTCGGGCCAGCTCCCAGATGGCCCGCAGACCGAGCTGGCCACGACCCAGCCTACGGTACAGGTGTGGCTGCAGGACCTCACGCACATTCTGGAGGAACTGGCGGGTGATCAGCAGCGTGGCCAGCATCTGGGGGCGGGAGGGGAGTGGAGAGAGGCTGCATGGGGGACAGGCGGGAGGCCCGGGCACCAGAACAGGGCACCCACCCTCCAGAGCACCTTCCGGGAGCAAGTGCCCAGGTGCACACACGGAGCCCAGTTCTTAACTCTGCCCCTCTGGATGTCCCTGGACACAGAGGCCCCCAGCACCCAGCCACCATTCACCTGCCACAGCCCAGCTCACCACAGCGCACGTAGCCAACCCACAGGGCAGGCACGGGGCACTGCCACCCCGACGAGGCCTCAGCCAGTGCCCAGGGCCTGGCGGGGCCCCCTCTGCCTATGCTAGGCCACCAGAGCCCCAGGCCCCTCTGAGCATGCGCCCTCAGCCTGGCGTGCCCGGTCCCCAGCATGGCCATGCTGCCCACCCTGGCAGGGGCTCGCCACCTGCCCGTACTTTGGCCCGGGCCGAGAGCAGAAGGCCCCGGAGGGAGAGGAGGAGCAGGCGGAACCGCAGGGCCACGAGCGGGACCAGCACCGCCCGCAGCTGCCGCTCAAGGCTCTGGGACAGGGACAGGACGAGCAGGAGCTGTGGAGGGACCGACGGACAGATGGACAGACAGATGGGGGGGTGACAGGCAGAGAGAGGACAGACGGACGGACGAACAAAGAGGAGAGAAGGATGGAGGGGGGAGGAGCGGCTGGAGAGCCCGTGGACCCCGTGTGCCAGGTCCGGCCCCCCGGGCTGCCGCGGGAGCCAGAGGCTCACCTCTTTGAGGCGCTCCATGTCCTTGAGGTAGAAGCCGATGTAGAAGAGGCTCAGGTACGAGTTGACAAACTGGAACTGCAGGGGGCAGGGGGCAGGCGGCGGTGTCACTCGCAGTTCCTCTCACGCCCCCTGCCCCCAGCCTCTCTGTCGTCCCCTGCGGTCTTCCTTGGAGGCCACTCACCAGGACGACCTTGATGATGAGGTGCTTCTCGTAGGCGCTCTCTAGCCGGTAGTTCTCTAGGGGCCGAGGAGGAGTGTGAGGGGCCACCCTGGCCGCCCAAGACAGGTGGGACCCCAGCGGGACTCCCCTGGCAGAGCATACCCATGTCGTTGAGCCAGACGGCCAGCTTCTTGTAGCCCTCGGCGCTCACGCTGACCAGCAGGGCCAGCACGACCTTGGGCAGGAAGCGGGCCAGACGGGGAAGCCCCTTCACACTCAGCACCAGCTCCTGCGGGACCAGGAGGTTGGTGACAGGGCTGGGGGGGGCTCAGGCAGGGCTGGGCGAGTGGTCAGCGGGTCGGGCTAAGGCCAGGGAGAGGGGCTCAGGTCACCTGCAGCTGGAAGCATCCCAGCATGAGCAAGAAGACGCAGGCCAGGCAGGCCAAGCACAGCGGCAGGCTCACGAGCAGCTGGAAGAGCAGCCGCTTCCACGGCGGGTAGTAGAACTCCTCAGCGCGGGTCACGGGGCTGATGCGGCGCACGCCCTGGGGGAGGTGGCCAGCCCAGCGTGAGACAGCAGGGGTCACCTCTGCCCTATCTGCCCTTTCTGATTCTCCAAACTCAGTTTCCCTCCACGACGCCTTTGTTCTTGGGGTACACCCCCCTCGTGCACCCTTTCTAGTTCCTCAAATCCAATTTCCACACCTCCCCCCAGGAGCACGCCCCCCCACACACATGCTGCCTCTGGCGCAGCCCAGGCCACCGTCGTGCTTGCTCCTGCGGCGTCTCCACCATGCGCTCGCTTTTACCTGGTTCTCTGAATTCCTCAACCCAACCTTGGACTGACCCTGAACTGGGGACGTGGCTCCTCCACAGCTTCCCCAGGTGAATCCAGTGTTCCCCACTTGTAGGCCAGCTCTGCCCCCCTCCGTTTCCACTCCTCTAAGAACAGTGTTGACCAGATCACGTTGAAGAGTGCAAAGACCACGCAGGACACATCCCGGCTTGTCTGTGGGTGGCAGAGGAGAGCCAAGCCATCGGGCGAGCTAGCCCAGGAAGGGGAGTGTGTTGGGACCCCCAGCTCCACCCAGCCCTGGTCTGATACCTGATCAGCCTCCGTGAACGTGTACAGGACAGAGCCAAAGACAGCGGGGTACACCATTGCTGACGTGTAGAAGCCCAGCCAGGCAAAGTACATGGCAATCTTCACACCAAAGTAGTCACAGATGTCATCTGCCAGGCGAGGGGGAGTCCCAGTCACCTCCACCTGCCTCCCGGGACCCCTGTCCCCCCCCAGCCCGGGACCTCACCTAAAGGCTGGTTTTCACACACAGCCTGCACCCAGGACTTCATGAGGCGGTTCAGGATGCGCTGTTCATGGACCGGGAACACCTGCTGGATGATCCCCCGGGCTGCCAGCTCCGGGACTGTGGGGAGAGGAGCACAAGTGACCCCAGCTACTCAACCATGCTCCCAGCCAGACGGACTGGCCTTCCTTGGCTGGAACCACAGTCACAGCTTTTGGCTTGCTCTTAAACCCACAGAGGCTCTTCCCAGGGAAGAAGTTCTGGATGGACGGAATATCCGCTTCCCCCTTGGAATCTGGGAGATGCAGGGGCAGACAGGGAAGGTTATAGCCCCCATAGGGGACCATGTTTTTAAGTAAAACCATTTGGCTTTAGTTTGTGACCCTAAGGAATGGCATAAGCTGGCATCAGAGGGTGAATGAATTTGTGTCGGCACCTTTCCTAGAGAAACCAAGGCCATAGTACACGGAGCGCTGTCCATGGTCCTGCCTCTCCCTTATTCCAGAAAAGGGCGCAGCCTGGACTTGCCTCCTAGGGGATAAGCCCGACCCCTTCACAAAGGCCACGCCCCTTCAACTCATTGAGGGGCCTGATCCTGGTAACTGGGACTATGCCCCTTAAGCTCAATGGCTGCCAACCCTTTACTAACCCCTGACTGGATGGAAACAGACCCCATCCTTCTACCCCCTAGATTGTCCTCTGAGACCCTGCCCAGCTCTAGGCCTGTGCTTGTGGTGTTGGCCCCGCCTCGCTCACTGATTGGCTGGTCCTCCAGGAACCGCACGTTGTGCAACGCCTCTCCCTGCTTGGCACGCAGGTTCTGCAGCCAGAAGCGGATGATGCTCTGGCGTTCCTGTTGGGAGGAGGTTGTGAGCTCTCCGAGCAGCACCCCAAGGCTGGGCCACCCACGTGGGACGGGCCTGACCTGGGATGTGAAGAAGCGTAGCTCACTTTCCACATTCTCATAGATGAAGTCTTCTTCGCAGGAGAAGCCGCGGGTGCCCCCACCGAACTCGGCCTTCACAGCCTTGCGCAGACCCAGCTCGTCGGCCCCTCGGAGGAGGCTGCAGGAGGGCAGAGGAGATGGGCTCACAGAGAGGCCCCGCCCCACCATCCTGGATCTAAGGACACACACCTGGTGGCTTCTTGGTACAAATGCAGGGTGGCTGGATAGCATGGTTGGCTCTTGGAAGGGCAGGGGGCCGGGTGGCAGGGTCAGCAAGAGGCCAGAGACAGGGGACTCGCCTCTCATATGTGGCTGTGACGAAGAAGGCGTAGGCACGCGTGTGGCGGTGGTGGCGGACTTGCACGATGAGCTCAGGGATGCCCACACGGATGTGGTTCAGCAGCCATAGCAGCGTGTGGTCATCAGTGGTGTCTGCCAGGGGGCACAGGGACCGATGGCTCTTGCCAAGAGGGGACCCCAAGACCACCTACATATTCCCACTATGGGAAGCTGAGCTCAGGAGAGCTGCCTTTGGGCAGTGGCAGCGGGAGTGGGTACCTGGAAAGGTCATCAGCACATCACAGTTCTCCGTGGGAACGGTCTTCATCCATGCCTTGTGGGACACCAGGTAGCGACCCGCCTGCAGGAGCCGCTTCCCGAAAAGCTTATCTGGGGGGAGCGGTGTGGCAGGTCTGGGTGAGGTCACACCTGGACCCAGACTTGGCCTCAAGTCTCAGTCCCTCCGGCCCCCACCGAGCTCTCCAGCACTCAGCCTGACTTTCAAGCTCGGTTCGTTTTCCTCTCTCCACGTCCTTGCACCAGCCAGGCCCTTCTCCAGGAATGCCCTTCCCCCAGGTCCTCCCTTACAAATCTTACTCATTCTTGAGGCCCAGCTCCGCCTACCGAACCACAATCGATGGGGCGCCCACTAGCAGCCCTGAGCGCTTCACCACATTATGACAGCGCGTCCTCACAGCAGCCCCATGAGTTGGGCGCGGTTCTTACCCCCATTTCACAGGTGAGGAAACTGAGGCCCAGTGTGTTTAAGTCACGCACCCAAGGTCACACAGCCGAGCTGGGATTCGAACCCAGAACCATGTGATTCTGTATTCTCCACGGAGAGGCTAGCGCATTCCAGCCTGGCGGTGATCCCTCAGCCCAGGGGTGGCAAGACTCAGCCCCAGGCCGGGGCTCTTTGGAGGGGCGTGTCCGCGTTTTTGCGCTGGGACCCCCGCCCGCTGCACGGCCCCAGCCCCGCCCGCCGGGCCGCAGCCGCAGTGCTGGGAGGAGCGGGCCCCTCCGCCAGACACCAGGCCCGGGACATTTGACCCCAATCTTCCTCCCTGCCCAGCCGACGCGCGCACCCCAGGCACCTGCAACCCAGTCCGCTCCAGCCGCCGCACACATACCCAGAACTCCAGACGCAGGGGCTGCGGGCTCGCCCTCCGGCGGGGGCCTCTTGCCGCGCTCTCCCTCCAGGGACGTGCCCCCGGCGCCCGAGGCAGTCTCGGCCATGGCGAGGACAGGTCAGGTTAGGGGCTGCGGGCGGCTCGGGCGCCGGGGGGCCGCGGACTCATGGGGCCAGTGCCGCCGCCGAGCGCGCGGGAGGAGGAGACAAAGGCCGCGCCCGCCCGCGCCGGTCGCCGTCCTCGCGCGCCCGAGCGCAGCTTCTCGTCGCCGCCCGAGCCGAACCTGGATTCTCTTTCCCCGCCCGCCGCGCGTCACTCTCCAGTTCTCAATCCTGCCCGCCTGCCTGGCTCTCTGGTTCTTGTAGCCGCCCGTGTTGTTTTCCGAGTTTTATTCTCGCCCGCCCACTTCGATTTCTGGTGCTCCTGCCCGCCCGCACCGAGGGTGCATTTTCCAAAGTGGCCCTACCTCTCCACCTTCGTTTCCGCCTTGGAGCCTGTTTGCCCATCTGCAAGCTACAGAATTCACAGACCCGACTTGAAATCTTAGATGGGCGTGATTTGACTGTGGCAGGACGTGGGAGTAGGCGGCCTGGTCAGGGAAGATTCCTGAGAACAATAACCACCTAGCAGGGTGGTGAATAAATAATTACAGCAGGTGCTGCCTCAGGGTGTTTGCACGTGCTGTTTAGCTGGAGGACACCCATCGCGTTCTCTTCTCCTGGTTAATCCTTACTCCCTTCAGAATGTAAGCTCCTTTGAGGGGATCCATTAGTAATAGCAAATAAAAGTAGTGCTCTTAAGTTTACATTTAGTTACATCTTAAACGTTACATAGGATACAGTTATACTAAAACAGTGTTCGTTGTTTATTCAAAATTCACATTTAGTTGGCTGTCCTGTTTTCTCTAACCCCTTCGGTGCTGGGGATGAAATCCAGAGCCTCGTGCAGACTAGGCAAGCGCTCTACCACTGAGCTACACTCCCGGCCCTAGGCATCGCCTCTTTTGTCTTGTTTCGCGATCCCTGACCATCCTGAATAGCCCGCTCCATCTGGGCGAGAACCCGAGGAAGGCAGGAGCACAATCTGGTTCTCAATGCCTGGCACACACAGGCATTTGATGTATACTTGTTACAGACGGAATCACCAGAGATGGAGAGTGTCATCGTTTATTCCTTTTTTAAGTGAAAAAGTTGAGCAGGGCGGGACATGAGAGATTTACAACTCTAACCTGCCAGATTTTTCCCGAATTGCAGATGAGCCGCCCGTCCGCTTTGATCGAGAACCAGAGAATTGGCCGTGCGAAGGCGCTCCCGAGACCCCGCCCACTCGGTGCCTGGAATTCCACCATCAGCGATTTATTCTGCTGTTCAGCGCTGTCCTGGGTTAACCTGAAAGTAATTTCCAAGACTCGGTTTCCTGGCTTTCGGGGAGCCCGAGACAGACCGGACTCTCGGAAGACCTGAGCCAGAGAGGGCCCAGAAGCCCAGTGAGGGGCAGAGGGCTTCCAGGAAGGTTTCCTGGAGGAGGGAACTCTGAGCTAGGCCTGGAGGATGCGTTTGTGAAACCAGGAAAGGCACCAGAGGCCTCGAGAGAGCCAGCAGAGGGTTGGGGAGCGGGGAGAAGCTGGAGGGTCCCGAGAAAACCAAGCAGCAGAAGTTTGGGCAAGGTTTTCCCTGGGCCAGAGGGTGTGTCCCCCGGAACTCATCCCTCGCATTCACTGAGATGCTCTGAGCTTCCGGTCCCTTCCTGGGCGCAAAGAGGTGTAACCCGCTTTTTGGACAGGAGTACAGGGTACGCTTGCCTCGCTGAAGGCTACGGAGTGGTCAAGCGGAAAGTACGGGACTCGAATCCTCGCCGTAATTCCCACCGTCCCGGCCAAGCCCTGTCCTCTCTCCTACTCGTTTCCATTGTCTCAGATCCCTGCCGCGTTAGGACCCTAAAAATTCCGTCTTTTGTTGCCGGGGGAACATCATTGCGGGGCACTCAAGTCCTGGAGCCCCCGCCCTCCTTTCTAGCACCAGCCCACGGGAATGAAGGTCTTCAGCCGGTGGGCGGGGCGCCTCCGCAGTGGTCCAATGGTAGTCGAGGACGTAGAACGTTCCCAGTTACGCCGTGGAGTAGGCGGGGCGTCCTGCCGGGACTTGAAGCGGCTCTGAAAGGTCCGACAGGCTGGTCGCAAGTCGTATATCCATGTGGCGGGAGCTGTGGACCTTGGTGGCCCGGGCGGCACGTGGGTCTCGCAGGTGGGGGGACCCCGCCGAAGGGGTGGGACAGCGAGAGGTGCTTCAAGGGCCCCAAACCCGCTCTTTAGGTTCCAAGGGCCCAGTGTCCTGCCCCAGAGGCACCAAGTTCTTCCAAGTTCCAGTCTGCCCGTCCCTTTGCCGCAGACCCCACGTCAGGGTCACCTTTTGCTCTCAGTCACTTTATGGCTTCAGAGTCTCCAATCTGTACGTCCCCCCGCCACCTGGAGCTACCCCTGACCATCCAGTCTTCGACCCATCTCCACCTTAAGACAGAGCCGCCAAGCTGTGCTGACGTTCCTCCTCTCCTGTCCCAGACTGTGCACAAGCCAGAGCAGCGGTGCCCCGGCCTTCGGTTCTGGGGCCACCATCTTCGCGCTAAGCTCAGGCCAAGGCCGCTGCGGCATAGCAGTGATCCGAACCAGCGGCCCCGCCAGCAGCCAAGCTCTCCGGAGCCTCACGGCGCCCCGGGACCTGCCCCCGGCACGCAGCGCCAGCCTACGTCTGCTCAGCGACCCGCACACCGGAGAACCGCTGGATCGCGCACTGGTGCTCTGGTTCCCTGGTGAGGGACCCCAGAACTCGAACCCATGGCCCAGTTTTCCCCCTCCTGGAGTTTGCCCAGGCTGTGCCTTCTATCTGAATCTCATCTCTTTGCCCACTGAGGTCCCCAAAGTTTCACGGGTGAGGACTGTGTGGAGTTCCACGTGCATGGAGGCCCGGCCGTGGTGAGTGGAGTCTTACAGGCTCTGGGTGAGTCGCAGTCTCAGGTTCACAGCCTGGCTCTGCCCATGGGCCTGGGGGACCAGCGGGTTCAAGGACCTGGGGCCTCCCCACAGGCAGTGTGCCAGGGTTACGGCCAGCTGAGGCTGGAGAATTCACCAGGCGGGCGTTCGCCCTTGGGAAGCTGAGCCTCACAGAGGTGGAGGGGCTGGCCGATCTGATCCACGCGGAAACTGAAGCACAGCGTCGCCAGGCCTTGAGGCAGCTGGACGGTGAGCTGGGCCAACTCTGCCGCAGCTGGGCGGAGACTCTCACCAAGGCAAGTGCCCTGTTTGCTGATCCCTGTTTCATCCACTTCTTCATCCCCTGTAGGAGTGCACCCCATTTACCCTTCATTCATTCCCCACATGAAAGCATCCTACCTATAGGCCAATCCTGTCCCTAGATCCTGCTACACTTGGGTAGTCCGCGTGGAATGGCGGGTTCCTGGGTGCTCACATCACCTGCCTTCCTCCCGCTGCCTAGGCTCTGGCCCATGTGGAGGCCTACATCGACTTTGGGGAGGATGACAATCTGGAGGATGGTGTCCTGGAGCAAGGTGGGCCCACATGGGGGTCGAAGGTGGAGATGGCTAGCATCCTCAGCTTCCAGAGGCCCTCCTCACCCGCACCCCTCTGCCTGCTTTCCCCTGTGCACAGCGGACAGTGAAGTGCAGGGGCTGATGGTGGCACTGGACGCGCATCTACGAGATGCCAGGCGTGGGCAGCGGCTCCGCTCAGGGGCACACGTCGTGGTCACTGGACCCCCTAATGCCGGCAAAAGCAGCTTGGTGAACCTCCTCAGTAAGTGAAGGGGGATGGGGATGTGGCCTGAGTCTTGTTGGCTTAGTGCCAGGGGTGGGGCCAGCAGGTAGGAAACTGAGTCTGTGGAAGGTATTAGAAAAGCTCCGCCCAGCCGAGGGGTGGGGCCTAGGGGAGGAACTCTCTGGCCTCTCCCCCACCCACTTCTTCTGACTGCCTCCCTCTAGGCCAGAAGCCTGTGTCCATCGTGTCCCCAGAGCCAGGGACTACCCGTGATGTGCTGGAGATCCCGGTGGACCTGGCTGGGTTCCCCGCATTGCTGAGTGACACCGCGGGATTGCGGGAGGGCGTGGGGCCCGTGGAGCAGGAGGGCGTGCGCCGGGCCCGTGAGAGGTGGGCTGGCAGGGTTGTGGGAGGGCTGTGGGGCCCTTCCTCTGCCTTTTCTCTCTGTTGCATTTATTTTTATTTTTCCTCATTCAGTAAAGGCTGCTAAGCTTCTTCAAGTGGGGCCTCAGTGATTGGGTTCTAATTAAATGCTGTTCTTGCTGGCCAGCTCCCCTGCCTGCCACACTGTGCCCCCACCGTGTTGTCTCACCTCGTCCACTCCGCCCTCTCCGCCACTCTGCTCCGCCTACTGCATTAATTGCTGTATTCTGGGGACACTCACCCCTGCTTCTCTCTGCTCCTCCAGGTTGGGGCAAGCTGACCTCATTTTGGCAGTGCTGGATGCCTCTGACCTGGCCTCTCCCTCCAGCTGCAATTTCCTGGACACAGTTGTAGCCCTGCTAGGAGCCCAGAGCCAGCGCCTCCTGCTGGTGCTGAACAAATCTGACCTGCTGCCCCCTGAGGGCCTGGGCCCCAGTCTTGACCTGCCCCCCCACCTGCTGCTGTCTTGCTTGACCAGAGAGGGGCTGGACGGCCTCCTGGAGGCCCTGAAGAAGGAACTGGCTGCAGTGTGAGTCCCCTGACCCAGCTCCAGCCTCCCCTGACCCAAGTTCAAGTAGAAGCTGAGCCACTGGCTCTGGCCACGTACCTGCCCCTCAGCCTTAGTTTCTGTATCTGCAAAACGGGTACAGCCTTTCCCCCATAAAAATGTGGTTGCAAGGTTGGGAGGGACCGCATCATGTCTTGTCTCTGGCAGGTGTGGGGACCCATCCACAGGCCCGCCACTCCTGACTCGCGCCAGACACCGGCATCACCTCCAGGGCTGCCTGGACGCCCTTGGCCACTACACCCAGACTCGAGACCTGGCCCTGGCGGCTGAGGCTCTGCGTGTTGCCCGGAGGCACTTGTCCCACCTCACAGGGGGAGGGGGCACAGAGGAGGTCCTGGACATCATCTTCCGGGACTTCTGTGTGGGCAAGTGAAGGGTGACCCAGAAGCCGTGGGGCATCTGGAGCAGCTCTTCTCCTCCTCCCAGGACAGTGCAGCACTTCAGCGAGCTTCGGGGTGGCGAGCTCCCTGCAGGTGCGGGGGACCCAGGCCTTGGGGAGGGGCTACAGGGAGGTTGCTTTGGGCACCAGATGCTGGGGTGTGCATGGAGGGCTGGCTGGAGGTGGGAAGATCTCGGGGGTCTTTGTTTCATAGTTTCTGTTTTAGTTTTTGCTGGCCTGGGGATGCAACTTGGGCCTCGATTACTAGGCAAGTGCTCTACCATGGAGCCACACCCCAGCCCCATGGTGGTAACTTATTGTGCAAGTACCCAGGGAATGTGAGCATCTCAAGTGATGCAGAAATGTTTCAACATGGGAATCTCCCTACTTGCCCTCTCCTGAAGTCACAACTTAATACGTGAATTTCTAGAACCTTCTCTGCATATTTGCATACTTGTGGATGCACCTATGAATTAGATATGGGTTTGTTTGTTTGTCTGGTGCTGGGGATGTAACCCCAGGCATGCCAAACATGTGCTCTATCTGAGCCACACTGTCAGCCCTGAGATTTGTATTTTGCATATAAATTGTGTTTATTGCTCTACATGTTGTCCTTCCTGTTTCAGCATAAATTCTGAAATTTTGCCTTTTCTTTTTTTGGTACTGGGCATTGAACTCGGGGGCACTCAACCACTGAGCCACATCTCTAGCCGTATTTTGCATTTTATTAAGAGACAGGGTCTCACTGAGTTGCTTAGCGCCTCACTTTTCCTGAGGCTGGCTTAGAACCTGCCATCCTCCTGCCTCAGCTTCCCAAGCCACTGGGATTACAGGTGTGCGCCTCTGGGCTGGCTTGAAATTTTGCCTCTTGTATCCTAAAAGCGATTTGCAAAACTTAGGGTCCCTTCTCCTTCCCCAGGCTTAATCTTTGTTCCTTCATTCATTCACTCAGAGGGGCCCTGCGCAGCATGGTGATGATCCCAGCAACTCAAGAGGCTGAGGCAGGAGGGTCACAGGTACAAGACCAGCCTGGGCCACTTGGCCAGACCCTGTCTTAAAAAAAACAAGAAGGAGGTGAGCGTGGTGGCGCACGCCTGTACTCCTAGCAGCTTAGAGGCTGAAGCAGGGGGATTGGGAGTTCAAAGCCAGCCTCAGCAAAAGGAAGGTGCTAAGCAACTCAGTGAGACCCTGTCTCTAAATAAAATACAAAGTAGGGCTGGGGATGGGGCTCAGTGGGCATGTGCCCCTTGGTTCAATCCCCAGTACCCGCCCCCCCCCAAAAAAAAAAAAAAACAAATGGAAAGGGCTGGGACATAGCTCAGTGATAAAGTGTCCCTGGGTCCAGTGCCCAGTACTGGGGGCTGGGTGGGGGGAGGATCCACTGACTTGATGAATATTTAGAAGCCAGAATTGTGTGCAGAATTGTATGCATCTTTTTTTTTTTTTTTAGTTGTAGATGGACACAATACCTTTATTTTATTTATTTTTATGTGGCACTAAGGATCAAACCCAGTGCCTTGCACAAGTGAGGTAAGCACTCTAGCACTGAGTCATAACCCACCCTGTGCACATCTTTTTAAAACAGTGTCTTTGCAGGACTGTGGATGGAAATCAGGGCCTTACCTGAGCTAGGCAAGTGCCCAGCACTGAGCTCCACCCCCAGCTCCAACACATTTTATATGTACAGCAGCATAATGCAAGGGGGGCTTTCTCCCAGTGTGAGGAAACTGAGGCTTGGGGGAATAGTGGCTTGCCAGATGTCCCCCCGCCTTGGATTTGAACACAGGTCTGTTGGGCGCCAAGTTTGAATATGCCAATGGCCCTCTATTCAGCAGACAGCATGTCAGGTGCCTGGATCCTGTCCTCATTAGAGGTCAGACACAGCTCATTCCTGTGAGGTCTAATAGCTTCTGTGTGACCCTGTCACAGAGACCTGACCTGGTCAGGGACCAGAGGGGTGGAAGAGGTTGGGGAGAGAATCCTAAGCAGAGGGCAGCGCATGTGTAAAAGCCCTGGGGCAGGAGCATCTTGGCATGTTCAAGGAGGGTGAGGTGACAGGGTTTCTGGAGAGGTGGGGACCCAGGAGGAAGTGGAGAGGAGGGTGTGGCCTGACAGGTTGGTTGAGAACTCTGGGGAGCTGCAAGGAAGGGCGGCCAACCAGCAGGGGGCGCCTTCTCCTAGCAGAGGGGCCAGTACTTGTCACCTGGCCTTCTGTCCTGAAGGAGGGCCTCCACCTGGGGGCAGCATACCAAGGGCCAGCTCCCTTGAGGATGGACACTGAGTCTCAGATGAGGTTAGGATCTTTTCCAGAATCAGAAGAAGATTCCCACCTCCAGTGGAGGGAGACGCGAAGTCTGCAGTGTGAGGGGTCATGTGGGCAGAGGTCTGGAGGCATCGGGGGCAGAGAGAGGGCAAGGCAAAGATCTTTAGGAGACAGAATCCCCACCCACCCAGCAGGGAAGGGGCCCTGTCCCCCTGTTTCTTCACAGACTTTATGGCAGCATTACTATTTGTTAGTTGATTTGCTTGTACCAAGAATTGGGGAGGCTGAGGCAGGAGGGTCACAAGTTCAAGGCCAGCCTCAGCAACTTATCAAGATCCTGTCTGGGGCTGGGGATGTGGCTCAAGCGGTAGCGCGCTCGCCTGGCATGCGTGCGGCCCGGGTTCGATCCTCAGCGCCACATACCAACAAAGATGTTGTGTCCGCCGAGAACTAGAAAATAAATTTTGGAAAATTCTCTCTCTCTCTCTCTCTCTCTCAAAAAAAAAAAAAAATTAAAAAAAAAAAAAGATCCTGTCTCAAAAGGGCTTGGGATGTGGCTCAGTGGTAAAGCATCCCTGGGTTCAATCCCCCAGTACAAAAAACAAAACAAAACGAACCTTCTGATGGTGAAAAAAAAAAAAGAGCTGGGTGACCCCTGGAGGGAAAGGGTAATATGGGCTGAATCCTTGGGTATTGCCGTTGTGCCCAATTTTCAGATAAATAAACTGAGGCCCAGAGAAGAAAAGCAGTAATGAGGGTCCCGGGGCCAGGGGTGGGGTCAGTGGTAGAGCTTGCTGAGTGCCCACGAGGCCCTGCCCCCGCCCCCAGCACTGCAAAATGTAATGACAACATGGTCCAGTGGGTGGGCTCAAACTGGGGAGGGTCCGGAGGGCTTCCACGTGGGGTGAGCAGTGCCACGGCTCTGCGGGGATGGAGACTCTTCCTGGGCAGGACGCCTGGCCCCACCCACCACCCCTCATCCCACGCAGGGGCCCTGGCACACAGCTGGACTGAGGTCCTTGGCTACGGTCCCTTTTTTCCAAGAAGGGTGAGGTGGCTTGTGGGAAGCCGCGGGGGTTATTTATAGAGGTTGTAGGAAATCCCCAAAGAGTCAGTGCCTCACCCAGCGGCTGGACCTCAGGGTCAGGGACCTGCCAATGGCCCCCTGCTGGGTTTTCAGCCCCCTTCCGCCCCTGGACCAGCAATGGCCAGGGACCCTCCATTCAGGAGAAAGGCTGGAGAGGAGGAGCGATGAGGAGGGGTGCCCAAGAGGGAGCAGGGCTGTCTGTGGGCCTTAGCAGGCTGCCTGGAGGAGGAGGTCTCTAGCGCTGGGCCGCGTGGGAAGAAGCAGTAAGGGGAAAGCCACTCTGGTCTGAGGACACTCCCCCATTAGAGCTTGGTGAGTCTTCAGCCAGAGAATCAAACATCCAGGAGCCCCGGAGGCAAAGGTGGCACGGTGTCTGCGGGTGGAGGGGGCACAGAAGGGCTGAGAAGCCAGACTTTGTGCGAGGGTAATGGGGAGCCATGTGAGGTGTGCGAGCAGGAGAGGGACTTGGTGGGATTCCATGGCAGAAGGATCCCTCTGGACCAGGACAGCAGAGGTTAAGGTTTGGGCTTGCACGAGCCAAAGCAGGGCAGGGTCCTGGGCCAGAGACGGGCCTGCGTGCCTGGAGGATTTAGGATTGTCATTTTCATTTATTTGTTTGTTTTTGAGGCAGAGCCTCATTGTGGGCCCAGGCTGGCCCTGAAATTCTGGGTCCAAGTACTCCTCTTGGATTACGGGCAAGTGCCCTGGTGCCTCGCTTGAGCATCATGATCATGCCCATTTATTGATGAGAAAGATGGAGGCTGATAACTGAGTTGGAACTTGGGATGTGGGACTCTGGAACCCACGTCAGTCCCGCCGGCGCCTCCCAGAGCTCCAGGCTGAGCAGCCCGCTCAGGGCAGGGACGTCCCATTTCCTTGGGGCTCCAGACCGGCCTGTCTGGACAGCCTGGCCCTGCTGACCCCCGCCCTGCCCTGGCCCAGCCCCAGCAGAGTGTTTCCTGCAGCGACCGCTCTCGCCTGCGCTTCCGTATCCCGGAAATATCCGTCCTTTGTCCCTCCAGACCAGCCTGCCCCCAGCACGAGCCCGGTGCTGCCAGCCCTGGCTCGTCCCCTCTCTGCAGGATCCCAGGGGAGTGGAGGACACACCCAGATCCCCACTGCAGTCTCAGCCCATCTCCCCTGGGTGGCCGCGCAGTGTCCCCTGGTGTTCTTTCTTCTTAGGATCCTGGTCAGGGCTCAGGTGTTGGCGCCTTCCCCTCTCCCCCTGCCCCGGTGTTGGTGGCCTTCTCCTCTCCCCCTGCCCCGGTGTTGGTGGCCTTCTCCTCTCCACCTGCCCCGGTGTTGGTGGCCTTTGATGTCCTTTCCTCCCGCACCTGGGTACAGCCTGGCTCTCCTCTGTTCCCCCAACTTACCCTCCTCCATGCCACCTGGTTGGGCGAGATCAAAGTGCGCCCAGACTGGAGGCTGGTGGGGTCTGGGCGTTAAAGACAAAACCAATAAGAACAAATGGCCGGGGACTTTTGTGACATTGCTCCTGGACTCATTCTGCAAGGAGCATTCTGCAATGCGCTGCTTGTGGCGCTTCACCGAGCTCCCTGCCACCCAGGAAGGCAAAGCTGAGAAGCGCCTGCCTGTTAGACACTGAACGTCCCAGCGGTGCCCGGTGCCGTCCCAGCGCAGGCTCCGTGGCCGTGTCAAGAGGCTTGTGTTGTGTCCCTGGTGCTGGTCCCAGACAGCGGGGTCCTGAGTCCCAAGGACACAGGGGAGGGGCTTCCCCCCCCCTCCTCTCTGGCCTGTTCCTCCCTGTGGCCCTGGTGCCTTCAAAGCAGGAGTCAGGACCCTGAGTCTTTGAAGGGATTTGCTAATATTTATTAGGTGCCACTAGTGTCATAACAGGCCACAGGCAGGGCTGGGTGGGGAGGGGGTGGAGGGAAGGGGACGCTCTCCGCACTGGACCCTCACCCCTGGACCAGGCTCTCCCTCACAAGGGGAGCCTGGAAACTCTCCAGGAGGTGCGCCTGGAAACTCTCAAGGGAGCCTGGAAACTCTCAAAGGGTTGGAGGTGAATGGCTTCCTGTTCTCACCTCCCTGGTCCAGGCGCTGGGAGATAAGGAAGTTGGAGGAGGGGATGGTGGGACACAGGGCTGTGCGGAACGCAGGGTGACGCTGTGGTGCCTTGGCCCCTGGCGTAGGGCAGAAAGTGAGTATAACGTGAGTGTAATGTGGGTGCTGCATAGGTGTGTGGCATTGTCACTGTGTGCAGTGACCGCTCTCTGTGACACCCTCCATGTGTCTGTGTGACATGGCTGCATCTGTGTATGATGTTGCCATGGACTTTCAGGGGAACATTGTCCCTGGCTTTGTGACATCGTGGCTGCAGCTGTGGGCGACCTCATCACCGTGTCTAGGGGTGAGGGACTGTGGGGTGCGGTGTGGGGCTGGGAGAGGCGATTGGAGCAGGTGAGGGGGGCCTCCTGGCTGCTGGCCTGGGCCCTGGAGGAGAGGGTCCTTCTGCGCTGTCGCAGGCGGGCCGGCAAGCTGGGCGCCTGCCCCTCGCTCCTCGCCACCGTCCTCAGCCACTAAGGCGGGAGAGGGAGGAAACAGTAGTCAGACTTGGCACGTCCCTGCCCTGGAGGCTGGTCCTCGGGGAGGACAGGAGGTCCGAAGACCCCGGCCCTGCCTCCCTCCACCCAGGCCCCTACTCTCAAGACCCCGACCCCTTCAGCCTCTCTGTTAGGTCCGACTTGCTGAGCCCCCCAGGAAGGTGAGACTCAAGCGCATCCCTCCGTCACACAGACGTAGAAACTCGGGTCCCCAGGCCGCCTCGTGAGCGCCAAGCTCAGCTGCCACCTGCCTGTTCCCGGTGTTCTCCATTCGGGGGATGCGGAGGGTCTGAGCAGAGCCCCTGCCAACCCGCTGCACGGCCCCCGACGCAGGGCCTGGTCTCCCTCTAATGCACTTAGGTCTCACTGAGTTCCCGGGTCTCCCTCCCCAGGGCCTGACCCTGCCCACTGCAGGGGAGGGTCTAGTAGGCCGCCCGGCTCCCACTCCAGCCATGGCTCCCCAGTGCGCCAGGACAGAGGCCAAGCCAGAGGCCCGACATTCAAGGTTCTCACCTCTGCCTCGGCCAGGCCTCCCCGTGGGGACTTCAACCCTGCCGAAGTCCCAACAATTCCTAGAGCCTTCCACCACTTCCGCCCCGTGCCTCCCCCCACCGCCTGCTCTGGCCACCTCGGCCACCTCGAGCCACCGAGCTGTCTGGAAGGCCCTTCCCCCTCCGGGGCTGGCAGAGGCTGTCCTGCGGGGTCAGGGGCTGGCGCAGGCTGTTTCCTGGTGGGGGAGGAGGGGGCTGCAGCCAAGTCCTGCTTCCGCTGCCCCCTCCCTTCCTTCCCCGCTCTTCCCTGGGGGCCCGGTGGCCTCACGTTCCTTGGCTGGCTCCGTCCCGTCCCTGGCTCCAGCTCCATCTCAGCCAGGATTCACCCGGCTCCCCCCAGCCTGCTCACCAGCCCTCGCCCTGCTCACTCCTGTGCCAACTGCGGGCGTGGCCGCCGGGCACAGGGGCCATGCTGGTTTGCCAGACTGCACAACCGCCTCTGCTGTGGTCCGGGCTCCATGGCTTGTCCCACAAAGTGACCAGAAGGAAGCTATGAAGGACTGAGTTGGTCAAGTCCTGGTTCTGCTCACGGCCCTCTCTCGGGGACCCCAGCTACAAGCTGCTCCTCATCTCCCTCTGTCACTTGCCCCCTCAGCCCCACCTGCTCCTCCCCCTTCCATCACTCTTCCAGCCACTCTGGCTTCCATGTGCCTCAGGACCTTTGCACAGGCTGTGCCCCTGCCTGGAGCACCCTTCCTAGCACCTCCTCAGGGACCCTCCCCCGCCTCCTTTAGGTCTTTGGTCAGATGTCACCTCAGGGAAGACGGTCCTGGTCCCCATGGGAAATCCCAGCCTCTTCCCACTGCCTTAACTCTTCTCTTCTGGCCCATCACCCAGGGCCCTGTAAGGACACGTGCATCTGGTTTTTCCACCATCTCCCCACTGGACTAAAAGTGCCACAGGACGAGGGGGGGTTGTGCCTAATTTTCTGTTGGGTCCCTGACACCTGCAGCCTCACCCAGTGCCAGCAGCTGCCTGGGTTAGATGACAGACAGAGCCTCACAGTGTGGTCAGTGTGGTCAGCAGCATGAGGTTGTGCCTGCTCAGAGCTGGGCTGGGGGTGGGGGCGACGACTCAGCCTAAGCCACATCCAGCCCCTGGGGCTTGTGGGACTTTTTCTTTTTCTCTTATTTCTGTGGGGATGGAGCCCAGGGCCATGAACATGCCAGACAAGTGCTCTGCCACCGAGGTACACCCCAGTCCTTGGTACCTTATCTTGAGACAGGGTCTCACTAAGTGCCAAAGCTGGCCTTGAACTTGGGATCCCTGCCTGAGCCTCCTGAGCCACTGGGATTACAGGAGTGAGTCACTGTGCCCGGCTAGCAATGGTGATTCTCCAAAACATGTAATTAACCATCTCCAGGTAACGCCCACTTTCACCAAGTGGAGCTGGTTCACTTGTCTTCAATAAAAGACGACTTTAAGCGTCCAGGAAAACCAAGGCCAGGGCTGAAGCGTCACCCAGTTGCAGACTGCTCAACTAGAAGTGTGAGGCCTGGGGTTCCATCCCTGGGACCCCAAAACCCCCCAATCCCAGGCCTTGTGCTCAAGTCTAGCTGCTGCTGGACCCTGGACCCTGGGTCTGCCTTTGATGTGAATGTGGGAGGCCCAGAGTGGCTGGTGGCTGCTGAAAGCCCGTTAGTTACAGCAGGGACCCTCTGGAGGCTCAGAAGGAATCAAAGTGGAAGAGGAGACAGTGGTCCCGGTGCCCAGGTTCATGCTGGGCCTCAGACCTGGTCCCTGACTAGGTGCATCAAAAGGCTGGATGTTCAAGTTCAAGAACAACCTGGCAACTCAGCTGTCTCAGTCATCGTCTTCATCATCGTCTTCATCATCCTTTAAAAGGCTGGGGATTAGAGCCAGGCATCATGGTGCACACCTGTAATCCCAGCAGCTCTGGAGGCTGAGGCAGGAGGATTGAAAGTTCAAAACCAGTCTCAGCAGCTTAGCAAGACCCTGTCTCAAAACATCCAAAGGGCTGAGGACGGAGCTCAGTGGGAGACCCCCCCTGGGTTCAACCCTCAGTACCACAGGCTGGGAAGTGGCTCAGTGGTAAGTGCTTGCCTAGTGTGTGCGGCCCTGAGTTCAATCCCCAACACTGCCAAATAATAATAATAATAATAATAATTTTTTTTTTAAGAAAGAAAAAAGAGGGCTGGGGTGGTGGCTCGGCAGCAGAGCGCTCGCCTAGCACATGGAGGCCCTGGGTTCCATCCTCGGCACCACATAAAAATGAATACAGGAAAGGTATTGTGTCCAACTACAACTAAAAGGTAATTTTTAAAAAAGAAAGAAAGAAACAGAAAAGTCAAGCTGGGTGTCCAGGTGGGGTGCGCCAGGCCAGAGGATCCCTGGAGCCAGGGGTTCAAGACCGGCCGGGGCAGCAAGGCAAGACCCATTTCAAAAACAAAGCAACAAAACAGACTTGAGACTCGGGGCGGGTGACTCATGGGCTGCGAGCGGCTGACTCTGGAACGCGGCGGGGCCTGTCCCACCCGGGCAGCCCCTCTCTCAGGGGAAGGCTTGGGTCAGAGGCCCTTCCTGCTCCCCGGGCTGAAGTGCTCATTGTTTTCTTGGCAGGGGGACGGCAGGCATTTGGGGTAAACAATGTCGAGAGCTTCCCCGGTTCTCAGCTGAGGCCGGACAGTCCTGGGCTGGGAGCCCGGTCCTGTGCGTGACCCCAGCTGGGCCTCAGTCCCCTCCTCTGAGAAATGGGGATAATAATAGAATCCCTTTCCTGGCCACCAGGGCTCTGGGCCAAGATGAAGAGAGGGAAATCATGTTGCTTCCCTCCCCGAGGCTGCCGGGCGCTGAGGCTTCGCCCAGACCAGGCCGAGCAGGGTGCAGGGGGTGAGCATCCTGTCTGCGGGGTATGGAAGGAGAGGCTGGAGAGGGGGTGCCCGGGGAGCTCTGGGGAGCCCCTGGACCTGCCTGGCTGCACTGCGCACCGCGAGGCCATGGGGGTCAGGACTGGGCACACCCTGGGCTCCAGCCCTCCCTGGGCCTCAGGTCCTAGGGGCCACGCCCCTCCCTGCTCCCTGGCCCGGCACTAGCGTGATGTGGCCCTGAGCTGGGACCCTGGCGGGAGCACAGGGTGTTCTGGGGCAGTGGCCTGAGTCACCTTCCCTGTGACGCACGCACAGGGTCAGCCAGCGGATGACTGGGCCTACGGCAAGGTGAAGAGGGCACGGGCACTGGGCCGCGACCCGCGCGTGTGCCGGATGCCCTGGATGTGCCCCGCTAAGGCCCCGGGATCCTGGCTCCGGCCTCGTGTGGACAGCACTTCACAGTTAGCATGGCGTTTCCACTCCCGTTTCTGTGCAGACGGAAAGCGAGGCTCAGCGCTCACTCTCCCAGGCTCCCTCTGTCCCCGTTACCTGCCCTGTCCCTGCACCTCTGTGGTGGCCAGTCCTGCTCCCTTCTTTCCCCAAGGCCGGCTCCTCCCCCTCCCCTCGGGTCAAAGCCCCTCCTTGGGGCCTGGCTGGAGTGCGGTCACCTGGCCTGCGCAGCGCTCTGCCACTTCCCAGCAGTGTCACCCAGGGCCCTTTCTGTGCCTGGCTTTCCCCACCTAAAAAGGGGCACGGAGTAGCTCCTCCGCCAATGAGGATGGTGACGGGTTAATTGTGGCAGGTGCGGAGCTCACATCAGGTGCCTAATGATTGCAGCCCCCTGGCTTGTCTGATCGTGGCTGGTTCATAGTTGGTGTTGCCCACGGCTCAGGGACTGTCATAAATGAGACAGAACTGGGGTGCCTGGGTTACTGCAGGGTCCTTCAGGTCCAGCCCAGGACCTGGTATACAGTAAGTGCTCAGTCGGCCTCCCTCAGCCTGCCCAGCACCTTACCTGGACAGGACTGCAGGGTTGCCTGCAGGGGACCGCTGGGATTCCAGGATCCTCTTCTTGAACTCCTCTAGGCTCGCTGGGTCTGTGGAGAGAGGGAGGAGCAGGCTTGGCCTAGGGTCCTGGCAGCCCCCCGCCCTGGACTAGGGGTGGGCTAGCAGTCTGGAGAGCAGGGCCTCGTGTGGGGTGCGGGGTGCGGGGTGGAAGGGACCCCCCTTCCCATTTACCGGCCCTTCCCTCTGTCACTCACCGATGGGCTGGGGCTGGGGCTGGGGGACAGGGCCCACCGGTCTTGGAAGGGGGATCGACTGTGACTGTGGGAAGAAGGGGAGGGAGGTTACCTTCCTGGGTCTCCTGACCTTTCCCTCTCTGACCTTGGAGACCTGGGTCTCTGAGGTCCTTCCAGGGCAGGGCAGGGACCTCCGTGTAGTGGACACAGCGGTAACAGACGTACAGTCCCCTGACCCACCGGGCCCTCAAGTCGCCTGTGAATCCAGGGCCCAGCCTTCCTTGGCCACAGCTGGGTGGCCTGGGCCCCTCAGCCTGGGCACCAGGTGTGACCCCAGCTGAGCGCAGCCACCTGGCCCGGCCCTCCGGACCAAGGTGACCTGCTCTGGCAACCAGCCAGACCCCGGTCCTGAAAGCCGTTCCTCCAGCAACCCCAGAGTCCTATGGTGCAGCCAGTTCTGAGCCCGGCCACCCCAGAGCCCATGCTGCGTCTTCAGCTGGAGCCCCATCCTGACATGCCCTGGGCTCTGTGAAAAGCCAGCCCCCAGCCCATTCCCCAGTCCCCCCTCTGACCCTAACCCTGGCCCTCACGCTGGCCAGTGACCCTGAACCTGCTGCCCCCCACACTTAACCCTCTCTCCACACCTTTCCCAGTTCCAGACTCTGCCCCGGTCCTAATGGTGATGAACCCCTCCATTTGCCCAGAGCCGCAGCCGCCGTCTGCAGGTCACCGAGCTCAATTCCACATCCACCTTAGGGCTTCACCCCAACCCCATCCCAAGGCAACCGAAATTCCAGATTCCTCCCTCACCCGGACCCAGGCCCAGCGGCCACCCCGCCTCCAGCCTCAGCACTCATCTGCCACCCCTTGGTCATGCCCGTCCCCACTCCCAACTCTGTTCCCATCCCGGCTCCAGTGAGCTCTCCAGGGAGTCCCCACCCACCCAACCCAGACAGGACAGCCAGCTTCACCCCCAGCTCCAAATTCAAGTTCAATGTCACCACCAGCTTGAGCTCCAGACCCAACGCCCAGGCGGCCCCCTCATGGGCCCCAGCCCACCTTGGCCTTGAGACAGGTGTCCAGGGCCGAGATTCTGACGTCCATCTGCATCTTCAGCTGCTCCACCTCTCGCTTCTTCTCCGCCAGCTCCTTGGCCAGGTTGTCCCTCTCCCTCCGCAGCACCGCCTTCTCCTCCAGGGCCAGCTGCACCTGCTGGGTGCATCCGGCTTGGACCTTGGCCTCGCGGGCCCGGGCCTCCTTCTCCGCCTGCTCCTTGGCCTCCTGACTGGCTCGCAGGCTCTGCTCGGCCTCCAGCTTCTGGCGCTGGAGGTCCGAGTTCTCGCGGGCCACGCGCTCGATGCCGGCCCGCAGGCTCCGGGCCAGCTCCTCCACCTTGGTGCTCATGATGCTGGGCATCTGGTCGCAGGTTCTCCGGATGGAGATCACATCCGAATGTGAGATCATGGGGTAGCCCATGCCGTAGCCCAAGGTCTCCAGGCTGCGGGAGACTATGGAGTCCTTCCACAGGTTGCGCAGGTCCGTCTCGAACTTGTCCTTGTCCAGCGGGAGGCAGAGGGCCTGCACCTTCTGCAGCCGGTCCTGGGCCAGCTGCCGCTCCTGCTGCTGCTGCTCGCGCACCTGGTTGCAGGCCGCCAGCTGCTGCTCCGCCGCTCGCTTGCTGGCCAGCAGGCCCTCCTTGTCCTGGGCACACACCACCTTCTCCTTGGCCAGCTCCATCTCCAGCGCCTTGGCCTTCTGGTCCCACACGTAGAGCAAGGCTGAGGGGCGGCAGAGGGGACCCGGTCAGTTCAGGAGCTGCCCAAGCCCTGGGTGAGGAGCCCCCGGCCCGGCCCTGGCTCACCGTTGCAGGACTTGTTGGCCTGTTTCAGCTGTTCCTGGCACTCCTGCTCGCTCAGGATGATGGCGACTATGTATTTCTCCCTGCTGATGTAGACGGCCTGCCGCGAGTGGGGGACAGAGGACAGAGCTCAGCACCCACCCAGGCTGCCCAGGCCCAGATGGGCCCCCAGGCGGCCTGGGTGAGCCATGTTCTCAAGGGCTCAGCTCCTTTACAGGGCACCTTAGTCTGATAACAAAATTCTATAGGGGTGCGGCACTCAGGGGTGGAGCTCGCAGCTTCCTCAAGGCCCTGGGTTCGAATCCCAGCACGGGGGGGGGGGTGGGGGGCAGAGGTTTTTACAGTCAGGTGCAGTGGCCAGGCCTGTCATCCCAGCGGCTCCCAGGGCTGAGGCAGGAGGATCGTGAGTTCAAAGCCAGCCTCAGCAACTCAGCGAGACCCTGTCTCTAAATAAAACACAAAAACGGGGTGGGGATGTGGCTCAGTGGGTAAGCACCCGTGGGTTCAATCCCTGGCACCAAAAGCAAACAAATAAAAGAAGAAATAACAATAGTTTTTGCAACTCACACTGGTCGACCACAAAAGGGAACGAGGCCGGGAGGGGACTAGGGAAGGGCTGCCTACTGGTTACGAAAATGACTAGGGGGTAAGTCCTAGTGATCTATAGCCCCAACCATCACTAGCCTCAACCATCGTCCATGGTCTATTCCACAACAGCTGGAAGAGAGGATTCTGGATGTTCCCAGCAGAAAGAAGTAGCAGGCCCTGCAGGTGGGGGAGATGCCGATCCCCCATTTGCTCATCGCCCAGGGCTCACGTTCCCCACGGCCAGTACGGTCATGAAGGGTCGATTAAAAGTTGTCGAAGGGAAAAAAGGAACTGGGTTCTGATACCTGCCGATACCAGGATGCATTTAAACAGCTTTTACACGTCAGTAATAAAGCAAACCCAGTTAGCAAATGGGCCAAGGACCTGGATGGACATTTCTCCCAAGAAGATACACAGACGGCCATCTTCCCAGCGCAGGAAAGACGAGCAAGTCAAAGCCCCAGTGAAGAGCGGCAGCCTGGAGCGCAACTGTCCTCCCAGCCACCCAGGAGGCCCAGGCAGGAGGATAGTGAGTTCAAGGCCAGCCTCGGGGACCAAGACCCTGTCTCAAAAGAAAAAAGAAAAAGGGCTGGGATGTGGCACTTTCCTTCCTGTGGGAGCAAGTGACAAGAAGGGCCAGGTCCTGCTTCCCAGACACACCCAAGACACAAATGGCGCCTGAGCCTGGCTCCTCAGCGCTGCCCGCGGGATGGGCACTCCCTGACCGACGCACACCTTGGGTGACAGCTGCCTTTCTCCGGCAGGGACTGAGGTGCCACCCACAGTTGCATTTATAGAGAATTCAGGAAATCCCAACACCTGGAGGACGACCTTCCAGGAGAGAGACGGATGTGCTCATCGTCCTGACTTGGTCACCACCCACTGCCTATCCATAGGGAGCTCACAGATAGGTTCCTAGTCCGTCAATCAGCCCCAATTCTATGCCAATTAAAGTTAAAGGAAGAAAGACACTTTAAGAAAAACCACATTTCCTAGCACCACGGGACGGGGTGTCGGGGACCCAGATTCATACTCACTGGGACAGGACGTGGGGTGGGTGGGGAAGCGGGGGCTCCTCCCCAGCACCAGCGACCCCCTCCCAGAGAGACAGAGAGCGGGGTACAGCGCCAGGGGACCCTTGCAGGACACCCCAAAGGGTTCCAGGTAAGAAGCTTTCTCACCCCAAAGGACAGAACACAAAACAAGGAAACACGCTCCCCTCCCATTTTAAGGTCTTAAAAACCTGAAATCGGGGCCAGGGATGTTGCTGAGCGACAGGGCGAGAGGACCTGTGGGGAGCTTGTGTAGGGTGCCGGGTTCAATCCCCAGCAACAATAAATAAATAAACAAGAGAAGAAGAAAACAATCCAGCCTCAGGCGCCTGGCGGTTTGGATGGGGGAGTCTGGGTTCCGGGAGGCCCAGAGTGGCTGATCCTGATGTCCCTGCCCCGAGGGTCCTGGGTGTCCTGGAAGATGGGCCAATGCCTAGGAATTGCCAAGTTGGAGGGGGCCCAGCTCAGGCCTGGGGGCGGCTCCCTGCGTATCCTGGGTGCCTCAAGGGCAGCCTACTTCATTCTGGGAGTCTGCGGTGGGGGGCACTGCCCCGCCCTGAGACTCTGTGGGGGACACAGTCCCACCTTGGGGTTCTAGGGAAGCCGGAGCGGCTCCATCCTTGGAGTCTGGGGGGCAAGCACTCTAGGGCCCTGAGGGGGTTTGGAGGGGGGACCTGCCCCGCCCTGAGGGATTGTGGGAGGCACTGCCCCATTCGGGGGCTCTGAGGGGCTGGGGCAGCTCATCCTGGGAGCCTGAGGGAAGAGGCAGGGCCCTGGGGGCCTGTCTCCCTGGAGTTCAAGGTGGACAGTGCCTCTGTTCCCTGGCAGCCCTGAACCCTCGACTGAAGATCCTTGAGGTGCCCGTGGTGTGGCAGCCCGTCACAGCTTCAGTTAGCTGGCTAAAGACCACTCAGAGCACGGGATCTTCCTCGATAACGCCAGGCGTGAACAGGGCTGCATGGGGAGGCCTTTCTTTCTCCCTACCCAGCCCCCGCCAGACAGGATGCTTCCTGTGAAGGACACGGGGGTTGTCCCAAGCCAGCCTTCCCTCACCCAGTGCCCCACATGTAGCAGGAGTCTCAGGACACCCCCATGCCACCTCCCTTCAGTGTTCTGGGCTGAGCAGGACCCCCTGGAGGATGCAGCTGTGAGAGAGAGAGCCGTGGTGACCGGTGACGGTGACCTCTGAGAGTCCATCGTGGGCTGGAGATGTGAGGGAGCAAGAGCCCCCATGGACCCCCCACCGTGTGGCTGCCACGTCCCGGATGCTGCCTGTCGCTGCCCCTGGCGGAAACCTGCCTCCTCTCAGGCCTCCGTTTCCACCCCCAAGAGGCTTTGAGACTCCCCCTCCTCCGGGGTCATCTGTTTGAAGCAGACACCAGCAGAAGCAGAGAGGGGCCATCACCCGCCATCGCTGCCTTGGTCTTTTGCAGTGGGGGGGACCTGGCCCCGGGGGTGCTGGGCAAGCGCCCACCACCCTGCCACCCAGCTCCTGCATGTCATTGAGCAGGAAGACCCTGAGCTCTGAAGCCAGCTACCTGCAGCTGTGATGAGCCGCCACATCACGGCTCCTCATGGATCTTAAGTCGAGGGCTCAGGGCTGCCAGGGTGGAGGAAGCACCATCCAACTTGCATTCCAGAGAGACAGTGCCAGGGTCTGAACATGTCCCCAACCCCGCGTATTGAAAATGTGGTCCCTCGTGCAGCCGTGTTGAGGAGTGGGCCTCTGGAGGCGACTGGGCCACCAGGCTCTGCCCCCCTGGTGGATGGATGCACTCTGGGGCGAGTGGATCAGTGGCTATCGGGAGTGGCCTGGCGACGGCAGCCGCTCGCTCCAACACACTTGCCGTGGGACGCCCTGCGCCATCCGTGGTGCAGCAAGAGGCCCTCGGCAGACACCAGGTGTCTTGATCTTGGACTTCTTGTCCTCCAGGACCAGAAGCTAAACAAACCTGTTGTGTGTGCACATGTGTGTGTGTGTGTGTGTGTGTGTGCGCGCGTGCTGGGTGCTGGGGATGGAACCCAGGGCCTCCTGCATGCTGGGCAAGCACTAACTATTGAGATGCACTCCCAGCCTTTTAAAAGCTTTATTTTTGAAATAGGGTCTCATTAAGTTCCCTAGGCTGCCCCGAAAACTACAATCCTTTTTTTTTTTCTTTTTCCGGGTACTGGGAATAGAACCCAGGCGTGCTTAACCACTGGCCCTATCACCAGACCTTTTTATTTAGAAACAGGGTCTCACTGAGTTGCTTAGTGCCTCGCTGTTGCTGAGGCTGGCTTTGAACTCGCAATCCTCCTGCCTCAGCCTCCCAAGTTGCTGGGATTACAGGCATGTGCCACCGTGCCCTGATTTTTATATATATATATATATATATATATATATATATATATATATATATATATATATATATATATATATCTCCTTTATTTATTTATAAGCGGTGCTGAGAATCAAGAACCCAGTTCCTCACACGTGCTAGGCAAGTGCTCTACCATGAGCCGCCACCCCAGCCTCTAAACATCTATTCTTTATAAATTACTTGGGCTCAGGCATTTTGTTATAGACTGAAACAAGTAACAAATAACTTTTTTAAAGTGGGGAGTGTATCCCAAACATAGCAGGGGATATACTTGTAGTATTTTTTTTTCTTTTAATCTGCGTGGGCTGCTCACATAGAATTTAGATTTTGTGAGCGTCCCGGTCACAAGGCTGAGAAACGGAGGCTCAGAGAGGGAATGCGACTTGCCCGGGTCCCCGAGGCCAGAGTCACCTACCCGCTCACTCTGGCACTGGCGGAAGCTGGCGTTGATGCGCTCCAGCTCGCGGCGGGCGCTGAGCAGCATCTGCATGATGTTGTCCTTGGTGCGCGCCGTGATGTTGAGCTCCTTGGACAGGTTGACCTGGGCGGCCGACAGCCCCACGACCTGGCTGTACAGGCTCTCGGCGCGGCGCTCGGTGGCCTGCAGGTTGGACTCCGTGCTCAAGTGCACGTTGCCGTAGACCATGAAGAGGACCAGGCCCAGGATGATGAGGAACTGGATGAGCGAGACGAAGAGGAAAAAGTAGCGCAGGTAATACCAGCAGCCCCGGGGGCTGTCCCCCGCCCGGGAGTAGGCCCCGCGGGGCTCCATGGCCAGACCCATGCTCCTGCCCGTGCACTGCCCGCTCCGCCCGCTGCCGCCCGGCGCACAGGGGAGTGTTTATATTACTCCTCTTAATACTTCCTCTGCCTGGCTCCTTCCTGGCCAGGAGGAAACGGGGGCTGCCGTTATCACAACACTCCCACCCGGGCTGTGAGGGGCTGGGCAGCCCGGAGGCCACGCAGGGCCTCTCTGATTAATGCTGGGTGGGGCACCGGCGGGTGACTGGGCTTCCTCAGCCTCCCAGACCCTCAGTTTCCCCGCCTTCCTCCATGCCCAGAGCTTGGAGCACACTCTCGTGGAATCCTCCCAGGCCCAATGCTGCACCCATTGTGTGGAGGAGGAGACTGAGGCCCACGGAGCAGGCAGGGCCCCGGGGCCCTGGCTGTTGGTTCACAGAGCTGGACCCTCCTTCTGATGGGCCACAAAGACATGCCCGCTTCACTGGGGCTGCAAATGGGACACAATCCTCATCCCAGAGCACTGAGCCCAGGGAGGGACAGGCAGTCCGCATGGCCCTGTGCAGGTGCAGGCCAGGGTGTCCGCCTGCCAGTGTCAGTGAGGTGGGGGACGCTCGGGGCCAGGGCAGCCTGTGGCTGGGCCGGCCTGCGACACTGGACTAGCGACTGGAGTCATTCCTGTCATTTCCTGCTCACAGTTTTGGGGGGCTCCATGAGATGGGGAGCAGAGGTGGGGTTCCGTGGGGTTGAGCCTCCTGCTCCCTGAAGCTCAAAACCCCATGGGGCCTTCTGGGGTCATGATGAGCCGGTGCCCCCGGGCAGCATGGAGGGGATGTCAGGACCTAGGAGCAAAGGATCCTGGGTATGTCCTCCCGGAGCTCAGGGGACCACTTCTCTGCCTGCTCCGTGCTGGCTGGGGCCAGGCCCCCACCGGGAGAGACACGGCATCCAGGCCCGGCCACGGCAGCCCAGCTGTGGGAGATGGCGTGGGACACACCTGTCGCCCGAAGGTGTCAGAGCTGCCTGGAGGGAGGGAGGAGCTGGGAAGGGGACTGGACTCTGGCAGGTGACAGCACTACCATTGCTGCCCACTGCCTGTGGGGGACACAGCAGGGTGCAGCTCTGTGTGGGGACCTGTCCCCCCAGGAGCCAGGGTAGTGGGCTGGGGCTACTTGTCAGTGGGGAGGGTCTTCCAGGGTGGTTCTCAGAGAGGCGGCTGAGTGGAGATGGAGGAAGTTCCCAGGGGCAGGCAGGAAACCCCAGTGTGACCTTTGGCCTTTGCAGCTACCCGCCGGTTCCTGGTTCCGGACCCTTCCCAGCCAGCATGGAGGGCGGAGGAAGGAGGGTTAGGGGCTGCGCTGGTGCCCAACCAGCTTTGTCTCCAGGTTGGCCAGGCCCCCCAGGGCCCCCCGGAGCAGGGTGGGGGGAGGACACTGTTGGTGAGGGGGTTATGGAGCACGCCTTGGGCTCTGGCTGTGCCACCTACCAGCTGTGTGACCTCAGACAAGTGACTTCCTCTCCCGGGCCTCAGTTTTGTCCTGTCTAGAGGTGACAACACAGCCAGCTGAAGCCCTGATCCTTGCTGGCACTCCATCAGCCCTGATAAATGGTGCTTATCTTTAGGTTCGAGGAGCTGAACCACAGTCTTACAGGATCCATAACCCTCATGGATCGTGCCTGTGTCTGATGACAGATGAGGAATCGATCCACAGAGAAGAGACAGTCTCCCAAGATGCTGGTGCCCCAGGCCTACGGGAGCTCAGGAGGGGAAGGAATGACAGGATTGGAACATGGGTGACAGGGCTCCTGGAGGAGTTTAACACACAGGGCCAATGCCAGGTGTGCACTTAAAACGTTGACATCCTTCATGATATGCCCAAGATGTTGCATTTGAATGTATGAACATGAAGTTCAGCTAACAAGGGAAAAGAAAGGCAACCGTAAACTCCTGCAAAGTCAGAAAGTCACCCTAGACCAGCTGATGCTAATGTGCTATAATTGGGGGCAATTATCACAGTGGAAGAACCCGAGTTTCATTTTTATTTATTTAGGACTTTTTTTTGTTTTCTGAAACGGACTCTCCCTATATTGCCCAGGCTGTTCTTGAACTCCTTGGATCAAGTGATACTCCTGCCTCTGCCAGTAGCCTGGATTACAAGTGCACCCCACCATACCTGGCTTCAAACCAGAGTCTTATTTCCTTATTTATTTGTCTGTTGGCTTATTTATTTCCTGTGGTACTGGAGATTGAATCCAGGATCTCACTCATGCTAGGCAATTTCTCTACCACTGAACCACATCCCCAGCCCCAGAGTCTTCAATAGACATACTTATTTTATTTGTTTCAGGCTTGAAAACAGTATTCTGTTTTCTTTTGGCAATTTTATCTCACACCTTTGATTTGTAATACTTCTGTTTGAATAACTTATTTCATTAGCCAGATTCTTTTGAACAGAAAAGACAATGATAAGCCTTCTTTCTTAAAATCTGTCCATCTCCCCTCCAGTGCCCCAGTGCTGGGGATGAGCTCAGAGCCTGGGGATGAGACTCCACCGCTGAGCTCCCTCCCCAGCCCTGAGAGCTGAGGATCTCTTCTGTTTGTTTAGAGTTTCACCACACATTACCATAATAATTACAGATGGTCCTTTAGATTGTGTCTAAGTTATTTTTGGTTTGTTTGTTTCAATGAAGAATAGATGATTTGAAATCAAATCTCTACAAATGAAATCCCCTGGTCTCAATGCCAGCGGCTCTTACATTTTGATAGCTGTCACCAATTTGTCCTTCAAAGATGTTGTTTCCACTCAACACCCCGCCAGCAGTGTCTAAAATGCCTAAATATAGACTTTCTGAAAACGTCGCCTGTGTCCCTGCCAGATGACCCAGAGGGAAGGAGGTGAGCGGGGATGGAGGATTCTCAAGAGGTCAACACGGCGGCCCTGATGAGAGCGCTTGCGTTTTTTTCCTGAAAACAATTTGTCATGTCCACAGGAAACTTTGCTCAGGAATCTCCTGCGACAGTCAGGAACCAGGACGATGGTGGGATAGAGGCTGGGACAATGCAGGGAGCCCCCGGGCACAGTGAACTCCTGCCCTCTGCGGCCCAGCCTGGCTCCCCACCCTCGCTCTGTTCAACAGCAGAAGGTCCCCACGGGATGGAAGGTTGGGGACCACCCGCCTCCGTCTGCTTCACTGGTGTGGATGACACCGCAGACCCGTGGGTCGTGATAAGAGTTGCCAGGGTCACTTTTCAGAGTCCTGAAGCCCACTTCCGCCGGAAACAGTGACTCTTCACTTGGGCCCGCAGGTGTCTGAGGGGTGACTGGACAGAGATCCAGAGGCTTGGAACGTCTGACAGTTTATGTGTGTGTGTGTGTGTGTGTGTGTGTCTGGGACTCAGGAGCACTTAACCACGGAGCCTGAGCCACCTCCCCAGCCCTATTTTGTGTTTTATTTAGAGACAGGGTCTCAGGGTCTCACTGCGTTGCCCAGGGCCTTGCTAAATTGCTGAGGCTGGCTTTGAACTTTGATCCTCCGGCCTCAGCCTCCAGAGGTGCTAGGATCCCAGGAATGCGCCACGGCAGCTGTGTCTTCCTCTTATGTCTGTCTCCTTGGTGGTCCCTGGTGAGTCTTGGGCAGCTGCTGCTCCCCGAGTACCCAGAGTCCTTCAGGCCTATCAGGAGGCTCAGATGGAGCCACCAGGCCAGGATGTTTGTGCAGGATGGTGTGGCTGCAGGGTACTCAGCAGTTCCCAGGACAAGCTGGCCGTGAACCCCTGATGGTCCCAGTCTTCCGCAACCAGAAACTTCTTTTGGAACTGTGCCTGCCTTTGGCCAGTGGAAATTACCAGACCCCCGCCCGCCCCAGCAGGTCAACAGGAGCTGGCCTCTGCCTCTGTGTGGCCTGGCCTCTCGGTCAGTGCTGTCGCCTGGCCAGTCATCGCCTCGCCCGGCCCCTCCACTCGCCTGACTCGGCTCCATCTCAGCCACCACCATCGCTCCCCGGGGGGCCACCACCCACCACCCATGGCTTAACACACCCCTCCGTTTCCTTTTCTGCAGGAAAACAATCCATTTGTTTTCTGTCTCGTGTTGAGGTGGAGAAGGGAAAACTGGCACCCAGAAGTCACTTGTGAAAACTGACGAGTGACATCCTCACAGGGGACAGGAGCTTTAACAAAACCACATGAGACTTCAGGAAGGTTCTTAAGTGATGGCTTCAGTGAGGTTCAGAAAACGCCCCACCTTGACGCCGCCGTGACACCGTGTTTGCTTTTTGGCAAATTTAGGTTCTGTGCTTTCCCAGGTTAGACCTTGGAGGGCGGGGCAGCCTGTGTTCTCTGGGACGCTGGCATTCTTGGCTGAAGAATGGGGACCAATTTGTTTACATGGGACCAGGAAGGAGGAGGTGAAGACAGGTCACCGCTGTCCCAGGTGGCCCCGGCCATCTCTAGGGCTTCCTATTGCTGTCCCCCACCCCTGTCCCTGTAGCCACTGGAGGGGGGGGCTCTCTGATAACCACAGACAGGGGCGTTACTCGGAAGGAGACTCGGGCTGGGCAAGGTGGGGCAGGCCTGTCATCCCCGCCACTCAGGAGACTGAGGCAGGAGGACCACAAGTTCAAGGCCAGCCTCCGCAACTTCGTGAGACCCTGTTTCAACATAAAACAAAATCAGCCGGGGGTGTAGCTCAGAGGTAGCACATCCCTGGGTTCAATCATTAGGACAAAAAAAAAAAAAAAGAGAGAGAGAGAGAGAGAGAGAGAGAGAAAGAGAGAAAGAGAAAGAAAGGAAGAAAGAAAAAGAGACCCTCCCCCCGGGCTGGGCGAGGAAGGAGCTCAGGGGAGGAGGCTGGCTTAGCATTTGTGAGGCCCTGGGTCCCATCCCCAGCCACCTCCCACCTTCTCCCACCCCAAAAGGAGATACTTCTAAATGGAGAGATGGCCCACAGAGCCAGGGACCACCAGATGGAGTCAGGATGCAGAGGAGAGACAGGGCGGCCCGGGCGGCCCTGTGGCCTGGGCGCAGCTCCCACTGGGGAGCTGTTGGCTCCCCGGAGGAGGCCTCG